GCTCACGACAAAGCTAAGAAACATTTGGCCTGTTAATGACAAAGTTGCTGTTAGGCTGTGGTGGTGCATCATACAACACACGATCATTACAGAAACCTACTGCCTTCTGCCGGTATAATTGTTGCCATACATTTTTATTGTAAAGTATCAGTTATCAGAGAATTCTGTCTTTGAGTGTTTTAAGTGAAAAGTGAATTTACAGTAAATTAATATTTAAGAATACTGTATAGTGATTTTGGCATGTTTAAAAGTTATTGGGATAAAAAAGATGAACTGTTTCCTCGAGAGGACTCGGAATGAGACCGAGACTGGAATGGAAGTTGTTACACTAATTTTGTATTAATTGTATTATTAGGAATTTAACTGTAATTTACTAAAATTAAATATTAATTATTTCCAATGTCTTCAATTAAATATAGTATTTCGTGTCACTCAAATACTTATATTTAACGTAAGGACCAAGAGCCGAGTCAGTTATAGTTCCTCTCTCCTGAAAGGACCAAGACTGGGACTGGTCCACTTTGAAGCAAGAACCAGAACCGAGACCGTTGGTTCTTTTTGAGGAACAAGTGCCCACTTTTGCATAAATTTGAACTTAAGTTCTCTTTTATACACAGTACCCATACTGTGGTTTGTTCATTATTAGGAACACAATCACATTCATTCATCTTCAAATAGATAAATTCTGCACCACAGTACTGTAATTAAAAGGTATGATATTTTTTAACCTGCTTTTGAATACTATAGTGCAAACTTGCAGAAGTTTTTCTTCCTAGGCCTTGAAATAATCTTCACTTGTAAATCTAGTGTCATTACTTATGTTTAAGTAATGTTTAACATTTTGGCCCTAACCCCTTATATAGTCTGTTAGGCTAATTAAATAACACTTTATGTATGGAAAGTCAACCCTGTGAGGATCATAATATTATGTGCTATCACATGGCATGCAAATATAGCAGTCAAGTTATGGAGTGTTTCCTCTGCCACCAATGGATCGCTCTAAAGCTCAAATGACCTACTGAACAATTTACCATGAATATAACAATGACATAACTCAACAAATTGTGCAACAAATTAAATGTGTTCAATATGCAAACCAATTACTTTGTCATAAATCATTGTAATAAAATATTAATGGTTATTTTTAATAAAAGGGAATATATATGATTTTAAATATATAATAATTACAGTGTAATGAGTATCACTAGTGTCACAGCATACTGTATATATAAACAATATCACACACACGTGTGGTTGTGGCAAAACTGACTTCAGGGCATGAATTTGTAAATGTGCCAGACCAACACTTTGATAATAAAAACTTTTTTCTAGTTTTCCATTCATTTCATACATATATTTCTATTATATAATTTTTTAACGATGCAGTAAATTGTTATGTATATGTGGGTTGCTACTAAAAACTGTGTTGAGTGTAATAATATGCCCTTTTCTGGGCACTACCTCAGTAGCTCCCCAGAGTTTGTGCACTAGCTGTTATTCTTCAGACCTGCCAACACCAGATATCAGTAAGACTCCCCTTGCCAACCTGTGATAAGGACCCTTGCACCATCTATGTGGTGGAAAAGTACAAAGGACACAGAAATTAATCCAATACCGAGGCTGACATACACAAAAATGCAATGGAAAGTGGCCAGAAAACAAACTTCCCCAAGAAATGTCTTGTAGCAAATGTCTGTAAACAAATAAGTAAACAAATAAACAAGCAACACTTTCTTTGCCACCAGTGGCAGTGTGCATCACTCCAAATCCAGGAAATAAAACGCAAGAACATAAACATCACGGAGCACCACAGCAGGCCCATACTAAAAAGTTCCTATCTAAAATCCACCCCCTTTCACTCATATACCCATCCAATCAATTCTTGATGCCCCAAGCAAAGAAAAAGGAAAAGTTTGCATTCAAAAACAATTACCAACCCAAGCAAACATAAGGTGGTATGCCGCCTCAGCAGGCTGTGTAACCATGCACAATACAAATGAATCTATAGCACAAAGCAACTGGACACTACCATAAACAAATTGACTTCTGAAGAAGCAACCACCTGAAAACGAAGAAAGTCACTGAATGAAGTCCTTCTATGAACTCGACACTCACTTCTCCGGAAAAAAAAATGGGAAGTGCAGGAGAGCATCCACGAGAATTGCCAAAAATAGTCAGAAGGTAGAACACAGAGAATGCCATAGACAAAGCTCACAACAGAGGGAATTCCAATACAGCTGTGATTAATGGAGCCTCTGTCAGGTCTGGCATCCAACTAGTCAAGGAACTAGGAAAACATACCACCCATGAGCCTATGAGATAAAGGCCCCACTTTGAGAAACTCCAGTCATGACCAACAGGGAAGCAGCCAATGCTGTAGTTGTCAGGATCTAAATTGTGTGGGGAAGCACTGTAACCCAACTAGTTAAGCAAGGAAAACCAACGACATCCTTGGAACAGGAAAAACCAGACAGCCCACCCAAGCAAAACATTGGGTGGGACCACATAGAAAGCCAAATGCTGGAACTCCAGGCACAAACCTGGCAGGAAGGACAGAGTAACCTAAAAGGTTTACAAGCTTCTTTAAAGCTTGTAAACTAGATGATCCACCTAAACAGGAGAACAGATGAACAGCCTAGATGTGGCAGGCAGCTACAAAGGGCGGGGGAGATATTGCAGCCCCCCCACTAAGCAGGTGTGATAAGTGCAACATCACAACTCCATAAACAGACAGGACTACAATGCAATGCCCAATAAGCTGCCCACTTATCTCAGAAGACCAGCAGTCTTTATAGACACTTTCAAAACAGTGGGTAACCAGCACCAAGCAGGAGAGAAATGGTTTTGTGATTTAGACCTGGGAGTAATCAAGACTGGAACAAATCATTGAGAATGCTTGAATAGTTGTTTTCAGAGTTTAGTTTGGGTAATTCCATGCTTTTCAAAACATTCCTTGGGAGAAATTTGAGTGTATTGTGACCTCCTTTCTCTGTATTTTTGGGGCAAGTCAGTTACAATAATGGATAAATCTATAATTCCCACATATATCTCTACCATGTTGATGGGGCAAGTGTTATTAAATAGGCCCTTGTTCCCTGTAGACAATGAAAGTCTGCCAGATATCTGCCATTGGCAAATTTGTCTGATAACAGCCAGTAAACAAACTCTGAGGTGCTACTGAGGCTACTGCCTAAATAATATAGCAATAACTGAAGTGTTGATAAAAGCAACCTTTTCAGAGAGGATGGCAAAAATTTGCTTCAGAAAATAATGATAATAATCGGTGGCCCCAACAGTACTGTACCAGTATATATTGTATTAATTAAATAATAGGAACACTGAACATTCAAAAGCTGTCTATTCAGCATTTAAATCTACATGACATTTTCAAGTACTAATAACCCAATATGGAAATTACTTAAAACAATTGTATTATAATATTAGCTAATACTGTATTTGAAGTGAATAGTTATGTATGAATTTATCTGAAAGAAATGAGTGGATGCAGACAAAGCGGTTGAAATAGAATAAATGTCAAAAAAATAGAAACATAATTTAAGAGGCAACAGATAAATGCAGAAATTAATGTTTTACTACATAGCATTAAAACATTCAACATTAATTACCTTCTTGTAAACGAGGACAATACGACATTGCATATGCAGAGTTGATATACTGGCTTTAGTTACTAGTGTTTTAATTTCAAGGGAAATAGAAGAAAAGTAGGCAGAGGGACAAGAAGGAAAAGTGGTTGAAAAGAACGCAAAGTGTTGACAATGATGTAGAGATACACCAAGTGAGAGATGTTATTTGTTAACATTTTCCCTGTTAGGCCTTTATAAATGCTAACAAAGTCATTGGTTGACATATAGCAATTTTTTACACGTAAAAGTTGTTTTCCCCAATATTGGGAGAATAACCAACCTTATGCCATCAGAACATGTTTTTTTCATAAACAGAAGTTCAGTTTCCACAGACAATTGGAATAATCCAAAAATGTGGAACCCTGTGCTTGTTACAAGAGTTAAACATTACACCTTTTTATATGAAAAGAAGCTTTAAGTCATAGGACTAAATATCCAGTATACTGGATATAAAAATATTTTGTTTAGAATTTGTAAATAAAAGAATGATAAATATTATTTGCTATATCAGAATTTTGGTGCTTTTATAGGTATCTCAGATTCACAGAATTATTGGTGTACCTCCACAAGCCTCACAATACCAACAAGCTCACTGGTGTACCTCCACAAGCCTCACAATACCAATGAGATAACCACAATATTTCCACTGATCTACACAAATGTGCAACTTGAGCACTTCCACCAAGAGCATACTTCACTTCTACAAGCCATTCATGCCTCCAACAGGAGCACTGAAATACTACTACAAGATCTTAACACTTCTAACAAGAGCACAACAGCACTTCCACCAAGTCACTTACACATCCAATAAAACTTCCGTAGAAATTATACAAGCCCTTTACTTTCAACATGAGCACTGAAGTACTTCTAAAAGTTTGCTACACTTTCAACAAAAGGTGGAAAGTACTTTTACGTGCCCTATGTACTTCCAACATGGGATCAATATTTTCACATGTCCTGCAGTTTCCAACAAGAACACTGCAGTACATCTACAGACCCTCCACATTTCTAACCAAAATATTCCACTACTACAGATATTTTACACTTCTAACAAGATCACTGCAAACTTCACAAATGCAATGTCACTGCCAAAAATGTCTGCCATGTTTTTAAGCAAAATCAAAATACAGTAATTAATCTACAAAAATAGTGAAGAGTGGTCATGATGGTAAGGATTGGAACCAATAATTTTGTTTGGGTGAAAATGCACTGTATCTACAAAATGAAAAAGGCCACAAAACCAATTTCTTAAAAAGAGTATAAACTTTTACAAGTAAGGTAAGCAGTATCTATAGAACAATAACTATAAAGAAAAAATATTTAAAATATCAAAATATAAATAAATATAAATATTTAAAATGTTACAAATATTTAAAGCCATCAGACATGTACGTTGTGTGCCGGGCACATCTAAGAGATATGTGATCTGAAGGAAGAATCAAGTGATGGAGAAACAAAGCCAATACTGTATATCCAACAATATTCCTTCCATTTCTTACAGGAAATAACAGTACAGTATTATGATGCAAGATACAGTATGTGTATCATTTACGATCAATTGAAGTTTTTAAAATGCAATGTTTTTCAATTAACATTGTGAACAAGTGTGTATAAACGTCCGTTTCCATTTATATAATTAATATTAATATTAGGTCCATTCTTGGGCATAATATATATTTTCTATATACAGTATTGTGGTACTGATATTTCATAATTTAGATCTGGAGTTAGGGAAGGGAAGCTGGGGTGATCCAAATCATAAGGCACAGTAAGACAGATTACTCTGACCATGGTAACATCTACATTAGTTCTTATTACACTTTTAACAATACACTTTTCATACTCCTGTGCTGTGTTGAAAATATAGCTACTGTATTTCAGAGGTTATCTGGAATTTCTAATACTCTTTATATACATACTGGATACAGTATTATGAAACATTCATGCCATTTTGTTTAAATAATAAATATTTACACTACTATTAATGATATGAACATAGTAAAATTTTCCAATGAGCAATTGCACTTGTGACATCAGCATCATACGAGACCACAACACCAATGTTCGCATCTCAAGTCTTGAATATTTGGGACCTAATTAGTCAGAACTTCTACCTGAAGATATAATTATATATAATTACTTTTGATTTGCATGAAAATGTGCCTTGAATAACCATGGATAACCCATCTTCTATATAAAATACAGCCTTGTAACATTAATACGAATGTGACAATTATGGCATTTATAATTCTGAATAAGTAGGTCCAGAATTTATACAGCTATGATGACTTCCCCAAGGGTTTCCTCTGCATTATTGGTTTAGGAATGTTGCTCTAGTCAAGGATATTTACTGCAGATAACAGTTCACCTATTAATCTGGAATGAGACCAGGAGGAACTTGGACAGTCAAGAGGTTCAAATACAACACAATACTGGTACACTCAAAGCATAGTCTAATGCCATCCTTATAACTTTAAATAACTTAATGTGTTGGAAAACTTGACTATATATCTGTTAGTATCTGTAACACAGTTGCTTGCTACACACATGGTCACTCCTGAAGAATGTCCTACAAACTTCCCAAGGATCTAGTTCTTTCAAAAGGAAAGGTATAACATACCTTTACAGAATACATTGTAAATCAACAATGCAAGATATTGCATCTAGTGTATTATTTAGTAAATTACTAAATTAGTAATATTTAGTCAGTACAGTACAGAACTTGGTTACACCTTTTGAATGTATCCCTCAAACACATTCATTAAGACCTTTGGAATAGCACATGTATACGAGTTCTTGCATTTGAATATCTAACACTATCTTTTTAGACAAGTTATAAAATGCAAGCAACAAAAATATCTTAACGAATGCTCTCTACCTACTTCAGAGCCAATGCTGCAGGCTCCCCACGCTTCAGTTATGGGCTGTCACACAATCGTTACAAAACATTTAAGAATTGAGGTTGGTTTCTATTATGTATAGTAATATTCAACATTTTGATGAAGTTACAATTTTAATGATAATCTAGATATAGTGGTATCTATCTAGATATAATCTAGATAGTGGGTGCCATAAATAAAATATATATCATAAATTCTAAATTCACAAAGAATTGGTCAGAAGAAGAAAAAACATAGAGGTGAGAGGAATATGTACAACATGAGCTGAATATGGATGATACTAGACTTTGTCATGAGGGCTTGTGGAAGAGCCACATTCCACAATGTAATGAAGTTATTCATTTTACACAATAATCACATATTTTTATACATGACAAGAAAGAAGAGAATCTCTCATTGCATTTCAATAGTGCTGCACATCTGATATGAGTATGGCTGCAATATTCATCAGAACCTTGACTGTCCATACAATCATAATGTAATATTTGCTACCTTTGCTCAATATATAAAGAATGCATTATACAACATGATATTCTGGGCAACCAGAGTACTAATGAACATACCAGAATAATAATCTTAAAGTTTCAGCAAGTATGAAATGGCAATGATCTGACCTTGTCGAGTATCCAGATTTGGCCCACAATTACCCTCTGTAATCTCATGATCTTACTAACAGCAACTATAAAGAAGCTATACTGCATACATGTAGGAGTGAGTTTTTGTGGGCAGAGGCGGAGTGGTGAAGGGGCTGAACCAGGAGAGTGAAAATCGACCAAATACTGCCTGGATGCTTCGCCACCGTGATTTTTTCTCCCAACTGGCCTGCTCCTTTTTCAACTGTTCAATACCCTATAAAAATAATAACACGATAGAATCTTATTTTGAAAATATCTTATCTACTAACAATACTGTACTATATCTTTTTAAAACATCACCTTGGTTCAAAAATATACCAGAGGTAAGTTTCAATCAAAATCAACATTCAGAATTCATATTCATTATCACAGAATCCACACACAAAAATAAGAAACTACTGTCTACTTACAAGAATGACAAATTGACAACATGGAAATGCTTATATTTCTAAGGCCTTGAGATTCAGTAAGGTGAGGGAGGGAAGAAAGACAGGGTAGAGAAGGTGAGGATGATGCAGGGGAAGGGAACGGAACTATCAGGAGAAAGTGCTAAGCTATTATGACTATATAGAACTTGGAAAGGATCAGCATAATGATTTGGGATGGGACAGGGAAAAGGAATGGTGCCCAGCCACTTGGATGGTCAGGGATTGAACTCCAACCTGCTCGGAGCGAGACCGTCACTCCACCATCCAGCCCAAGTAGATGGGCCTGCAGGAGGAGGGAAGGTAGAAAGGATAGAGAAGGAGGAAGATAAGGAATATGCAAGGAGAGGGAAGGAAGTGGTAAAGGAGGAAGATGAGGATGAAAGCAGGGGAAGGGAAGGAGGAGAGTGTAGGGCAAAAGGAGTTGTGCCATCACGTTTAACTCACCGTTTCGTCATTCCAGATGGCGTTAACTTGTGTGAAAAACATTACTGCAGTAAAAATGGCAAACAGCAAACTCTCAAAAATTAGGAAGAGTAAGAGGACAACTGTAGCAGGTGGGGAGAATGTGGAGCACTCTCGCCACTCATTCTTGACACAGATTATGAACTGGTAAATGCCCAGGAAGAGACCATGGAGGCTCAGCAGGGCAATGTAGAACTGGGGAAGGAAATGCCTTTTTTACTTAAAAATAAAAAATAAAACAAAATTATAAAATAAATAGTTTAAAGAAACTTCAATCATCATCCTACAAATAAACAGTGTTTATATTGGCTATTTTTTAACTGCTTAAAACATTAATATATAAACACACACACACACACACACACACACACACACACACACACACACACACACACACACACACAGGGGCCTCGTAGCCTGGTGGATAGCGCGCAGGATTCGTAATTCTGTGGCGCGGGTTCGATTCCCGCACGAGGCAGAAACAAATGGGCAAAGTTTCTTTCACCCTGAATGCCCCTGTTACCTAGCAGTAAATAGGTACCTGGGAGTTAGTCAGCTGTCACGGGCTGCTTCCTGGGGTGTGTGTGTGTGTGGAAAAAAAAAAAAAAATAGTAGTTAGTAAACAGTTGATTGACAGTTGAGAGGCGGGCCGAAAGAGCAAAGCTCAACCCCCGTAAAAACACAACTAGTAAACACACACAGTGAGAGAGAGAGAGAGAGCCTGGATATATATAAAAACTGAAAACTCACACCCCAGAAGTGACTAGAACCCATACTGCCAGAAGCACTGCAACTGATGTACAGGATCCCTTAACCACTCAAGCAACACGACCGAACAAAAGACGATGGTAGCCGAGGCTAATTCCCCATCCCCCCGCCGGCACTCTGTTTGTAATCTTGGGCATGGTATTTTATCAAATCACCTCATTCTTTGGGGCACACGTGAGGAACACAAATGCGAACAAGCCTGAATGGTCTCCAGGCATATAGGTTATCTTGAGATGATTTCGGGGCTTTAGTGTCCCCGTGGCCTGGTCCTCGACCAGGCCTCCACCCCCAGGAAGCAGCCCGTGACAGCTGACTAACACCCAGGTACCTATTTTACAGCTAGGTAACAGGGGCATAGGGTGAAAGAAACTCTGCCCATTGTTTCTCGCCGGCGCCTGGGATCGAACCCAGGATCACAAGTCCAGTGTGCTGTCCGCTCGGCCGACCGGCTCCCTACAAATATGCAACTGAAAACTCACACCCCAGAAGTGACTCGAACCCATACTGCCACACGGGAGACATCTCCTGTCACGCAGGGTGCAGTCGCACCTCCGCAGATCTCCAGTATCAGCTTTTGATACTGGTAATGGCTCAAAAGGGCCACCACTTACGGGCTATTCATGCCCGTGCCACCTTTTGGGTGGCTTAATCTTTATCAATCAATCATACTGCCAGAAGCACTGCAACTGATGTACAGGATCTCTTAACCACTCGACCAGACATTTAAGTTTCTTATCCTTCCTATTATCTTAGCATCATCAACAAACATGTTCATATAATTCTGTATTATCTGGTAGATCATTTATGTAGACAATGACCATCACCGGTGCAAGAACTGAACCCTGTGGTACTCCACTTGTGACATTTCTCCAGTCTGATACATTGCCTCTGATTACTGCCCTCATTTTTCCATCAGTCAGAAAATTTTTCATCCATGTTAGAAGCTTACCTGTCACCCTTCCAATATTTTCCAGTTTCCAGAACAACCTCTTGTGTGGAACTCTGTTGAAAGCCTTTTTTTAGGTCTAGATAGATGCAGTCAACCCAACCATCTCTTTCCTGTAAAATCTCTGTGGCTCGATCATAGAAACAGAGTAAATTCGATACACAGGATCTTCCAGATATAAAACCATACTGTCTGTCTGATATTATATCGTTTTTCTCCAGGTGTTCTACCCATTTTGTTTTAATTATTTTTTCCAATATTTTGAATACTGTATTACACTTGTCAATGATACAGGTCTATAATTGAGTGGGTCTTCCCTGCTGCCACTTTTGCAGATTGGAACTATGTTAGCCTTTCCACACATCAGCTACAACTCCTGTACACAGGGATGCATGAAAAATCAGTTGAAGTGGAATGCTGAGTTCAGGTGCACTCTCTCTCAGAACCCATGGTGAAATTCCATCTGGACCAACTACTTTGTTCTTACTTAGTTCCTTGAGCATTTTTTCCACTTTGTCTCTAGACACCTCTATGTGCTTAGTGTCCTAATAGCAAGTCTTTCCAGTCAAATTCCTTAAGGAAATGTCAGAGTTCCCCATAATGACCTCTCCTGAAATCAGGTTTTTCAACTGCTTCAACTCATTTTCTTCCAGATTATAACGCATTGCATACAGTACTTTATTCCCAAAAAGACATGGTCACTTTAACCCAAGGGAGGAAGGTACTGAATGTCAACTCTCTTCCTCTTTCCTGGTAAATATCAAATCCAGCATGGAGGGAACATCCCCTTCCCTCATTCATGTAGCTTGTTTAACATGTTGAAATATGAATGCTTCCAGGATGAGGTTTACGAATCTACAAGTCCAAAAATCCTCTGTTCTAGCTTCATATACCTCCTAGTCTATGGATTTTAAGTTGAAGTCACTGACTACCAACAATCGTGATCTATCTTTATCAGCTCTCGTTATAATCGCTCATTATTGCTATAAAACCCTCACATTTATTATCCAGCTCCTCCTTTGATTGTTTGTTGCATGACAGTGGACTATATGCATTTATGATCATTAGTTTATCTTGATCTTGAGATGATTTCGGGGCTTTTTTAGTGTCCCCGCGGCCCGGTCCTCGACCAGGCCTCCACCCCCAGGAAGCAGCCCGTGACAGCTGACTAACACCCAGGTACCTATTTTACTGCTAGGTAACAGGGGCATAGGGTGAAAGAAACTCTGCCCATTGTTTCTCGCCGGCGCCTGGGATCGAACCCAGGACCACAGGATCACCAGTCCCGCGTGCTGTCCGCTCGGCCGACCGGCTCCCTATCATCCTGATTGCAGATATCTAGTGCTATTATGTCAACTTCTCGTGGATTGGCAATCATTATTTTGTTTACCTTCAGGCGTTCTTTTACCAGCACAGCAACGCCACTGCCTTTCCTAATTCTTCTGTCTCGTCTCCAGACCGAGTAGCCCCTTGGGAATATGACCTCATTTAAAATATCATCTTCAAGTTTTGTCTCTGTGAGTATTTTGTGTCTTACTTCACATGCTGTGTTAAGAAATTCCTGTCTATAATGTCTACTAACTTTGCTCCCCATGTTTCTTCCCTGCCATAGGGATTCTTTGATTCCCAACTGATCTCTCCATGACCAGCAGTTTTGCTCATTCTGTGAGCTATTGTTGCTGCCCTCTGCAGTTCATCAATACATGCCTTCTTGTTGTTATCATACTCCTGCCTGGGCCATCTACTGTTTGGTGGGGGATTGTAGAATATCAAGATCACAATCTTCTTCCCATTATTTATATTTATATATATTTATATATAAATTATTATATATATATATATATATATATATATATATATATATATATATATATATATATATATATATATATATATATATATATATATATATATTTTTTTTTTTTGCCCAAAATGAGCACTGCACATTAGTTGCTTTATGCATTGAACTTGTCTTACTACATAAGTTCCTCTGTTAATGTATCATATGTATGCACATTTGTGTAAATAAGTTAGTTAGTTATTATTAGTATGTAGTAGTATTATATATCAACACTTGAGTCACTGATACAAGGTGACCACATGATATCTATCATTAAACCTTATCGTAAATACAAGTGCACATTATTTATGTATGGTATGTATGTAGGACCTACTGTAAAGAGCACGAAGAACTTCTGATTATTTTCTCCAACACAATTATTGACCCAGGGGCAATGATGGTCCATTTTCCGGATACACCGCTGGCAGACAGAACAATGATGGGCTCGCTCTGGTTTGATGCTACAGCATTTTGGGCATTTGAAAATTACTTGACCTTCTCGAAGCCCCATCCGCTGAATATTTTCCCTTGTGGCATTACCCTTCGGTACAGCACCCTGTTTACAAAAAAAATGGAAGATTGAACAATACTAATATTACAAAAATAAGTACAGTACAGAACATGCAAAATGCAATATTCACTTCCTAGTATAATACACAAGGGTCATAATCAGGAGAAAATGCTAAGCCAGCATTACTACAATACAATACAGTACAGTGTATAACACTTGGAAGTCATACGATAAGGACCTGGGATATGAGGAAGGAGTGAAGGAATACAGTGGTACGTAACCGCTTGGACCATAGGAAATTGAAGCTGATCCTGCAATAAGCAAGAGCATCGCTCTACAAACCAGTCTAAGTAGTTGAGTATGGAAATGACTAATATGCCTTTATAACATTATCGCTGTCTGCCCTTTCATAATGCATAAACAAGCATAACATTCTGGCCCTCTCAGGGTTTTGCTAAGAGACACAAAAATAAAAATATTAACAATTAATTCAACAGAATTTAAAAAAAAGAAAGCGTTGAATGTAATGAAACGCCATTTTACAAGCAAGAGCCGGAGCTTCCCTGGAGCTAACCAGGCTGATATGAATGTATTAGACCCTGGCATCAGTCAATACACATGGAGTTCTAGGCCTACCGGTGACCACAAGCCAGAACCAGGGGCCCCTCAGAGAGGCACAAGGAGCAAGAGCCTATAGAAACACCCGTGTGGTTGGAAGCATTTTATGTCTGCCATCGACCAGGTCAGACACCCAAAAAGGTAAGTGCCCCAAAGCAAATCCCTATTCTGGTTAAAATATTGCTACTGAAAGCCGAACTAGTGGACAGAACTCCCCAAATGAAAATGAACACACTTGCATGACGTCACCACGTCACCGCACTGCTTTCTGTGCAACCCCCACTTTCCCGGAAGGGGGAAGGGGAAGCCTCAGACCCCCGTGCCGGCTATCCATACCCCAGACCACACACTAGAAGATGATGGGACGATGAAGTTTCGGTCTGTCCCGGACCATTCTCAAGTCGATTGTACTGACGTACAACAATAACGTAATTTAGCCACGTTATTGTGACTCATCGCCTGCATATCCATACTCCAGTTCTGAGGCTGGATGTCAACACACAAAAAAAATGCAAAATGGAGGGAGGGAGGGTTGCTGGGGAGCCTCCAGGTCTCACCCAGAAAATAGCATTCCATTACATTCAATGCTGGTTTTCTGAGGGCTCTGGGTTTTCTGGGTTTTGGCTCCCCAGAGCTACTTACCTAAAGACAAAACAAGAGGCACTTACCCGGGAGGCGGTCGGACCTCACCCCTCAACACAAAGTCGAGACAACTGGATGCATCCGCCAACCCAATGTGACACAGGCCCTATTAGGCCCAGGAACGTTGACAAGGTAGCGAGCAGCCAGGACCCTGTTCGATCTCCAAAAACCCCGTGCCCGAATGTCGGCCTAAGACATGTTACCAAAAATGGCAGCCAGCGCAGCAAACTTACGAATGTCGTGGGCACAAGGATAGAACGCTGGCTTGCTGGACTGAATGACCCTGCAGAGGACCCGAACCCTTGAACAGGTAAGAAAGGAAACTGGGTCAACCCAAAGCGTATCTCTGGCCAAAGAGACGTGGCGCGCAGGTTTACGGCGGAGAGCCGCAACCGGACAACACGATGCACCCCTGTGCCTGACCAACCAAGTATCAACAACCCAAGGACCCCTCCAGAAAGCAGCAGTCTCATTCTTCACCAGATGTGCACAATTTTGCCAGTTCACATCAGCCACAGATCTGGGGTGTGGATAGCTGGCACGGGGGTCTGGGGCTTCCCCTTCACTCCAGGAGGCGGGGGAGGTTGCACAGACAGTGTGCGTTTTCATTTGGGAAGTTCTGTCCACAAGTTCGGCTTTCAGTAGCAATATTTTAACCAGAATAGAGGCTTGTTTTGGGGTGCTTACCTTTCTGGGTGCCTGTCCCGGTCGATGCAGATATAGAATGCTCCAAAATCACATGTTAATTTCTATAGGACATTGCTCCTCGTGCCTCTCGGAGGGGACCAGGTTCTGGCTCGTGGTCCCCGGTAGGCCTAGAACTCCACCCACATTAACTGATGCCAAAGTGAGGGATATTCATATCAGCCAGGATAGCTCCGGGGAGCCGTAAGGGCTCCCCCCAGAAAAAGAACAGTGATATGAGGGAGATTCTCAAGATGAGCCATTAGTGGGTTCCATTATGATTATTGATCTCAATTATATTCCAGATAAATATAATGTAATTGATGTGGTGGAGGGCATGATTAATTATATGAATATATATATATACAGTATATATATATATATATATATATATATATATATATATAAGGCACAACTCTCCTAAACACGAGAGTGAAGTATAGAACTTTAGAACACTTTCCCACCAGGAGACTCGAACCCTAGCCAGCACAGAAGCCTTCCAGCAACTGGCATAACAGGTACGCCTTAACCCGCTCCACAACCCGCTCAGACCCCAAAAGAGATGGTAATTTCGGAGTATTGTGATCTTTTGTGTATTTAAATACTCCGAAATTACCATCTCTTTTGTTGTCTGAGCGGGTTGTGGAGCGGGTTAAGGCGTACCTGTTATGCCAGTTGCTGGAAGGCTTCTGTGCTGGCTAGGGTTCGAGTCTCCTGGTGGGAAAGTGTTCTAAAGTTCTATATATATATATATATATATATATATGTCGTACCTAATAGCCAGAACGCACTTCTCAGCCTACTATTCAAGGCCCGATTTGCCTAATAAGCCAAGTTTTCATGAATTAATGTTTTTTCGTCTACCTAACCTACCTAACCTAACCTAACCTAGCTTTTTTTGGCTACCTAACCTAACCTTACCTATAAATATAGGTTAGGTTAGGTTAGGTAGGGTTGGTTAGGTTCGGTCATATATCTACGTTAATTTTAACTCCAATAAAAAAAAATTGACCTCATACATAGAGAAAAGGGTTGCTTTATCATTTCATAAGTAAAAAATTATAGTAAATATATTAATTCAGGAAAACTTGGCTTATTAGGCAAATCGGGCCTTGAATAGTAGGCTGAGAAGTGAGTTCTGGCTACTAGGTACGACATATATATATATATATATATATATATATATATATATATATATATATATATATATATATATATATATATATATATATATATATATATATATATATATATATATATATATATATATATATATTCATAGATGATGCAAAATATATAATGAAAATATAATGCTGTACTGTATATCAGCAGTGAAACTTAAATTCTGTATAGTACAGTACAGTATATATAAGCATGATACAGATATTCCTAAAAGTATTTTCTGCATGAATTATATGGTTAAATGGAATTTACATTACATTTTTAATTTATGTATGGTCCTTAACAATTTGTTATACAGTATTATTATAACAAATCCTATTGCTATTCCTTATTTATGAAATTCCAATCTTCAAGTGCTATCTATGTTTGGCAAGCTTAAATATTGTGCAGTACTGTTCTATGCTTACAATCTGATGGTAAGAACATTTCACATATATTCTCTCCAAATATTGTTTTCTTTTCACTTGTTTTTCCTTTTCACTTTCACAGACAATATTTAAAGCAAGATTTAAGACAAAGCCACTTATAGTTGCAATAATCCCAATTACAAATCCTAATAAACAAGCTTGTTACATTTTGACTTACCGGATCAGTAAACATGGCCCTTGCATGTGATGATAGAGCAAGGACTGCAAAAACATTGAAAAGTAGAAGATTGAAGGTTGTATAGATGGGATAATTTGCAGTGCCCAGGGTAACTGTAAACACCACAAATTCAGCATAGGTAACAAGTAACCAGGTCATCACAGCACAAATGATGCCGCATATGTCTGAGACGCACCACATGCGTCCCCCCATACACTTGTTGTGGGGATCCATCTCACCCCCTCTTGGGCCCAGTGACTCATACATCTCTCATTACTCAGAGACCTGTTAAAAAAAAGGTTATATCTAATTACTGTACAAAAATGCGAGTATTAAAGTCTGGAGATGTGATTATACAGCCTGTCTCATAACAAAGATGTGATCACTCAGCCATTGAAATACTGTAGATTTACAATACATTATGTTAAAAAAAACATTTTAGTTACAGTATTTTAATTTGAGTCTTTTAATGCTGGTATGTTATCTACAGGGTAAATTAGAACAGTGCTGTATACCTGAGTTACAATGATTAGAGACAATGTTTACAATAACAGGCATGAGACTTACATTTATATACAGTTCTATACAAAATATGCATGTGTACTGAACAGTATAATACACTCAAATGACTACAGTATGACAGAATTAGCAACAATGCAGTACAAAAACACATTTATTGCCTTATGCACTTTACTTTCTTGCCTGAAACAGGATCAAAGTTCAGACTCTAATATAAAGGCTTAAATTCCAAAGGGACTAAGTGTATAGATACAATACCAAATACAAATACAAGTACAAGATATACAAAGGGACCAATTGTATAGATATACAGTAGCCTACTATATATACTGTACTTGTACATTTAACAACTTTAAAAATGAAAACATTTGGAAAAGAAAAAATCTTAGCTGAATGGTTAAATATTACTAATGTAGAACTTCAAATAATATATTCCTCAATAATTTAAAAAGATTATTGCTATGAAATACATATAAATTCATTATCACACAAGGAAAATACACACGAACAGTATTGCATAGTGCTTACAATATTAACCAATGAATACTTAGTTGTTGGAAAAGCAATATATTTCACTGAGACACTGTATAACCAAACAAATGATGTACAGTACATTTTTTGCTCTTGCTCACCTAAATCTTACATGCCCAAACAGAAACAGTGCCAATATCTTGTTTAGACCCAACAATGAACTTTTTGTTTATAAATGGCATATAATGGGTATTATTTAAAAGGAATTTAGTTGCGAAGCATGGTGTAAATGCTGCTGTTAAAAGACAATAGCCAAGAATTGGAATAAATTCCAATCTATATTTCTGGCTGTACAGTACATTTTCCCAAGAGATTCCCCTCCATGGAGGTGGCCATGAGAAAAAAAAAGAAAACCTTATCTAAAATATATTCTGGCCTGTCTTTCAAGTCATTCTCTGTTTTCCCTTTCCATGAAGTACTGTAGGTTATCCTGACCCAATCCAAGTGCTATATAGTCGTAATGGCTTGGCGCTTACCCCGATTATTCCCTCCCTTCCCTTGCAAGCCTGTCTGTCTTAAGGTTCAACACCTTACTCTATCCTGTGTGCTACCCATCAATTTGTGGCCACAGCAAAAGTTTACCAGGGAGACAATCTTATTGCTTTATCCATATTAATTAAATTGTAGGTACTGTATCTACTGAACTAATATTTATTGATTTTATGTACATACATACCAACATTCTTAAATGTCTACACAACATTCTTATATATGTTGTATTCACAATCGACTTGAGAATGGTCCAGGATGGACCGAAACGTCGTCGTCCCTTCACCTTCTAGTGTGTGGTCTGGTTAACATACTTCTGCCACGTTATTGTGACTCATCGCCTGCACCTGAACACTCTTATATGTCTAATATATTTTTTGTGAAAAAATCAAGCTGTATCAAGATAACATTATTACCTTGAGGTGGTTCTGAGGATGTATAATCCAGAGGTCTGGTGTGATCAGGCTTCCTGGTCGATGGTCTAATTAAGGCGTTAGGAACAGCCAGAGTAACCATGCAGCCTGAAGTACGAGTCAAGAGCCTGGTTGATCACGTGTTTATTATGTTCTCTTTTGAATACCAAAAGAGGTTGGCTAGTTATGTTCCTTTTATTTAGAGGGATGTTGAAAAGTTCTAGGTCCCACATGTTTATAGAGTTGTCTCTGAGTGTGACAATTGGGCCACTAATTTTCAATTTGGCAATTTTGCTAAGCCTCCTGGTTTTGAAAGTAATTATTTCAGTGAACATCTGGAACTAGTCCTTTCAATATTTTCCAAGTGTAAAAAATTATTGTATGTATTCATGCAGTAAAAGTATTCAAATCAAGTCAAATCAAATATTTATTCAGGTAAAGTACATACTGTACATACAAGGTGAGATACAAAACGTTGATGGATTTATAGCTAGAGCTAATACATACAATGCCTAAAGCCACTATTACGCAAAGCGTTTCGGGCAGGAAAAACACTAAGACTATAACTTAATACTATATAATACTATTCTGTAGCCTCTATCCGATACATATTTTCCAAATCTGTAAGTTTGGTAAGGGTTACCTTAATTAACATTTTACTAAAATATAGTTTACCTTTTACTAATTACAATAATGAATTATACACAAGATTCACCACTGTAAATTCAGCAATCACTGCAGACTGCTACTATGGAGATCTGGATACATGGAGGTATGGTATTCACAGCAACAGATAATTTACATACAGATATTAAAGTCTACTTATCCTATGATATACAGTTCTATGAATAGGTAAACAAAATAGAAAATAAATTAAAAAAATTGAAGTTTTGAAGAAATCCCCTGATTAAACACATGTATAGGGAACATGTGCTACTCTGAAGGTGGGTGTTGTTGCTGAGTTAGGTATTAACTAATGTGGTGTGATTGTATAATCACATGGCAGGAAAAAACAACCAGTGCTTTGTTTCTTCTTTATTTAGGTTAGGTTGTCACCCAAGGTCCACTTCCTAACCCTGCCTCGAGCATTTTTACTGTGGGGTGCCAGAATTCTGAATGGGGCTGCCACCTAGCTACTATGACATCATAGGCCTAGAAAGTCTCGTATTGGCAAAGGCACCAAGAGCTCAACTGTTGACATAAAGGTAATGATGGAATTTAGCTATATGCACATCACCAGTTTTGTTTTTGGAATGTAATCCAAATCAAATCAGCAGGTTATATATGATGATGATGATCAAAGCCAATTAGCAAAATTAAACTGTCTTGCAGCAAGAATCAACACCATGCAGTAGACCTAACAATATCTGGCCATATGTGGTAAGGCAGACGTTGGCCCCCCACCTAAACAGGTTAAACTGTTAGAGTACTGTATACTTATCAACACCAACAGACCCAAGACGATAATGTATCAGACAGACATCCTCCTATCTCCTGAGCAATCAAATAAATGTATAATTTTACAGCAAAATATCAATGTCCTCCATGTCAAATGACAAAACTAAATCCAATTAGGCAATAATCAGTCATCTTCCAGTGATCCCCAGGTGGAGCAAGACCCAGTCAACCACTATGTCCTGAGGGTACACCATGAGACAAAGTTCAGCTGACCCCAGAGCCCCAAAGTTAGGCTAATAAAAGAGCCCCCTTCATCATCTAATAATTAAAATGATACTTAAAAACTTTATAATCAACTTTCCTGGGACCACAAGTGATGTGTGTACAATGTTGCTGTATAAATCTGATTTCTTAAAGATGAATGCATTAACAATGTCATAACCTAATGGTATAAATTGCAATGCATGTTTTTCAGACAACTCTCAGGCAGAGCAGAAGCCCGACATATCTCATGCATCGAGGTTGACCCAGGAGTCCATCAGAGGGTTAATTTATATCCTCCTAATTACTGCATCTGAGGATCACTCTTGCATGACTTAACTACCAGTTATTTATCTTTCTGGAATTTTCATCGTCCTTCTACATTCTCTGCCACAAAGACGATTTCACCCAATCCGTACTATATCTCATCCACATAGGAAGATTAACAGTAATGTACACCTGTAATTACCTAAAAAAAAAAATTGCACCTCAAAATTTGAGCATCTTGACCTTGGTTTTACCTTATATTCCGCCTGCCTACAGCGCTCTTATCGTTTGCCACTGAGTTGACTCAATGTGTGAACCTCCATATTCACCCACCTGCAACATTATGATGGAGAGAAGACCAAAAACTAATGCTAAGAAGCCATTCCTTTTTGACGTTTCCTGTCTCCCTACCCGTCTCCACACCGCTGCTGGCTCCGGCTCGCATGGCGGCGCCCCGCACTCTCCTCTTACCCTCAAAATGCACTCACGACTTCCAGGCGACTACAGTTTCAGGATAATTAAGTAAAAATAAAATGTAATTATGGGTAGTTAGGTTAAAGTTTGCATGATATATGGTGAGTATGGTGGGGTGAAGGTGGGCGAGGGTGAGGTCGGCCGACCCGGAGATATCACACCCGAGTCTGGGTCTCCACAGCGACAGCGGTAAACATGAAGACTAGCAACTACTGCCACCTGCTCTCAGGGGCCCCACTTGCCCTCAGGGCCCCATCTGCTCTCATAGCCCAGTCTGTCTTCAGGGCTCAGTCTGCTGTCAGAGCCCAGTCTGTCTTTAGGGCCCCAGTCTGCTCTCAGGGTCCCAACTGCCCTGGGCCTCACCTGCCCTCAGGGCCCAGTCTGCTCTCAGGTCCCACCTACCCATAAGGTCTCGTAGTTCAGATGGCTTCGTTCTCAATTCACAATCGGGGATCCCGAGTTCGATTCTTAGACGGGACAGAAATGTCTCTGATCACTTAGCATTAAATAGATACCTGGAAGTTAGGCAATTTTATTGAGTTGCATCCTGGCAGGGTCAGTAATTTGACCTTGGGGACTTTGGGGAAACCTCGATACAAGCGTGAAATAATTAAATGTGCATGTTAATTTCCCTTCCCTCTTCTCACTTGTATATTCGTGCTACAGTCAGAACATGAAGTTACTATTTGGTGAACATGCAACACTCGCGATGTGTCGAACAGGGTGATTCCCCTGCTTCTTCTTTTCTGCTTAGTCATTAATGAAAGGAAACAGTCTCCGTGGTGTAGTGGTAAGACACTCGCCTGGCGTTCCGCGAGCGCTATGTCATGGGTTCGTATCCTGGCCGGGGAGGATTTACTGGGCGCAATTCCTTAACTGTAGCCTCTGTTTAACGCAACAGTAAAATGTGTACTTGGATGAAAAAACGATTCTTCGCGGCAGGGGATCGTATTCCAGGGACCTGCCCGAAACGCTACGCGTACTAGTGGCTGTACAAGAATGTAACAACACTTGTATATATCTCAAAAAAAAAAAAAAAAAAAAAAAAATTATCGAAAACCTGTCTTGCGAGTTTATCATCTGCTTTGTGGATGATAGTACAGTAGTTGTTCCTCAGACTTCCTAGAAGACATTTAAAATAATTTAGGAAGATGGAGCGATTCTAGGCCTCACTCAACAGGCCCACCTAACCACTTGGGCTGGACGGTAGAGCCACGGTCTCACTCCATGCAAGTCGGCGTTCAATCCTCGACCGTTCAAGTGGTTGGGCACCATTCCTTTTCCCCAGATCCTTATTCTGAACCCTTCCAAGTGCTATATAGACGTAATGGCTTGGCACTTCCTCCTGATAATTCCCTTCCTTATCTGTACATAAATCCATCCATCTACTGATATATTTTTTTTTTGAGATATATACAAGAGTTGTTACATTCTTGTACAGCCACGTACTAGTGCGCGTAGCGTTTCGGGCAGGTCTCTGGAATACGATCCCCTGCCGCGAAGAATCGTTTTTTCATCCAAGTACACATTTTACTGTTGCGTTAAACATAAGCTACAGTTAAGGAATTGCGCCCAGTAAATCCTCCCCGGCCAGGATACGAACCCATGACATAGCGCTCGCAGAACGCCAGGCGAGTGTCTTTCCACTACACCACGGAGACTGATTTATGCACCTTCCCTCTTGACCCCCTCATCTCAATCTCCTTTGTTCCTGAATTTACCTAAGGGCCACGCCACTTGTGGCCTCGACGAAGACAGGAAGTCGGCAGCTTGTCAAATGCACCCCCCCCCCATTTGCCTTAATTATTCCTCTCCCTCTTATCCTCCTCCATATCCCCATCCACTTAATGATCCCCTCCCGTTTACCACCTCTTCCACCATTAAAAAAAAAACTCTTCCTCTTCTCTCAGAAAATGTATGGGTCTCTTTCCCCACTTCAGGATCCCCCTCCCTCACTCCCCTTTATACTACCTCTCCCTCAATCCTACAATATTACTAATAGCATAATAAGAGTGTCACTATGTCTTTATAATATTAAATGACATTCGCACGAAATATAATAGTTACTCCTTTTCGAATTTATGAGAATCTCCGAAGCGTCTGTACTGAAGTTAACTGAATCACGGTGGATATTGTGCTGATGATTACTCGCTTCTCGATGGCTAATATTAGTGGCCTACACCTCAGATTCCTCAAACAGAAGCCCATATTATGCATGAAGTGTTCTCATTGGGGACATATAGCTTGGAAATGTCAGTTTGACCCCAGGTGTCAGTACTGTGGTAAGAAACACGACTCTCGAGAGGGTAGAGTCAAGATTGAAAACGGTGAAACATTCTTGCCATCTGCAATTGTCGATGCAGCCACAATGCTGGTTCCTATCTATGCCGCATGAAGCCTCATCTGAGAGACTCCAGGACGGGTCCTACAAGTAGGATAGAGCCTAGGCGAGCCTAGGGAAAGTAGGAAATGCAGTTGAAAAAATGAAACCTTGTGGAAATAAGGTTCAGGACAACATTCATTTGATGCATCACGCTATTGTGATTTCTGTGTGCAATGAAGTAAGGGCGAAAAGGGAGAACGGCCTATTGACATAGCTAGAGTGCATGGGGGGAGTTGTGTAAAACCCTAGTTTGTGCCTCGGAGAGGCTGCAGGATCCAGTAAGTTCAGTAGAACTTCGGTTTCAACTCCTTTTGACCATGTCGTAGTTCAGTCGATTAAGGCAGCGTCTGGGATGCTCTCGGACGCAGGTTCGAATCCTCGTCACGGCCCTTGTGGATTTGTTCATTTGATGCATCACGCTATTGTGATTTCTGTGCGTAATACTAAAAACCACTCTGCCTGCTAGGCAAATCCTGCCTTGCATATTTGGAACCCGATTGTACAGTCGGCTAAGTTCTACGCTCGCAATCGAGAATTCAGAGTTCGAATCCCGGGCTAGACAGAAATGGTTGGGAGAGTTTCCTATCACCTAATGCACCGTTCACCTACCAGTAAATAGGGACAGGAGTTAGTCAGCTATGCACCGTTCACCTACCAGTAAATAGGGACCCAGGAGTTAGCCAGCTTGTTGTGGGGTTGCATCCTGGGGAGGGTCAGTAATTCGACCGTTGGGGGGGATGGACATAGAACATAAGAACAAGGTAAATGCAGAAGGCCTATTGGCCCATACGAGGCAGCTCCTATTTATAACCACCCAATCCCACTCATATACATGTCCAACCCACGTTTGAAACAATCGAGGGGTACCCCACCTCCACCACGTTACGCGGTAATTGGTTCCACAAATCAACAACCCTGTTACCGAACCAGTATTTACCCAAGTCTTTCCTAAATCAACCCATGTCTTCTATTTGAAACAATGCTGTTTGTTGACCAAATTGTATTTTTGTTTTTTTTCTGTCATGTTTCCCCTCCCCTTTTTTCCATTTTTTCTTATTTTTTCTCAACACAATTTATACTTTAATCTCAATTAGTATTAAGTTTTAGTCTTAGTGTTTTTCCTGCCCGAAACGCTTTGCGTAATAGTGGCTTTAGGCATTGTATGTACTAGCTCTATCTATAAATCCATCAACTTTTGTATCTTACCTTGTATGTATGTACTTTACCTGAATAAATATTTGTATTTTGTATTTGTAAATCTAAACTTATCCAATTTATACCCATTGTTTCGTGTTCTGTCTTATGTTGATATTTTTAATATCCTATTAATATCCCCTTGTTATAAGAACTAAGGGAAGGGAAGGGAACTATCAGGAGAAATCACCCAGCCATTACGACTATATAGTACTGGGAAGGGGGTCAGGATAAGGATTTGGGATGGGACGGGGGGAAGGAATGGTGCCCAACCACTTGGACGGTCGGGGATTGAACGCCGACCTGCATGAAGCGAGACCGTCACTCTACCGTCCAGAGCTTTTATCTAACCTCGATAGCAGCCTAACATGTTCTGTATGTATAAACTGGCTGCCTGTCCCCCCGACACAATGAATGATTGATTAATTATATGTATAAGAGCTTATATTTTTTTTATTTGGGAAACACAAATACAACAAACTAGAAAAACATCAACAGTATCATTCACATGTACAAAGCAAGAAACACACTGACAAACTGTAGAACAGGAAAACACACAAACAAGTCATACAATACACAAAATGAAATCATAAATATAGGTAACAATGAAATACAGCAAAAAAAAAAAAAAACTAGAACATTATAACTCAACAATAACCAGGCAAGAAACCCATGAACAAAAAATAACCCGTATCTCACAGCTCATCAAAACAAATAAATAAATAAAGCAACACAAAGCAAGAAACACACACACAGTTAATCATCATATTTATCCAGATAGAAACGACGCGGGTACTTCTTCCTGTAGGCATCCCACTGAGCCCACAATTCCGCAGACGCGTTAACGTGACTACGTGATCCTCGCGGACGATGCATGAAGTCAGGAACATCCAGCTCGGCGCCCTCCACCACGGGGGTGGAAGTTACGGGAAAAGGCCGCACAGAGCTCTTCGGTGCAGACGGTAGAACCACACGGGACTGAAGCACAGGAGCCGGCTGGACACAGGGCGGCAACATAGGGGACAGAGTTGCAGGGGACACAATCACAGAGGGCGATGGTGCAGGGGCCAACACCACGGGGGGCGGAGTAACAAAGAATTACTCAGCAGAGGGCAGCCGCGCAGCGGTCGGCATCACCTAGGGCAGATTCGCAGAAGGCACAGACATGGAGGCCAGAGGCACGGGGGCCTCCGGAACAGAATATTTCTTACGAACCAGCACCAAGTTCCCCTCCCTCTCCCTCAACTTCGGCCGGTGCCACAGCCTCCCAACTCGGGGAATCAGCAACTGGGGACGCAGAGGCAGCCGGAGAAGACACCGGACCAGGCGACAATCTCACCACAGGACCCCCCACCGCTGCAACACGGCGCACAGGAGCCGCAGGCACTCCAACAGCGTCGCCCACTTCATCATACACAGAAGATGAACTTCCGGAGTCCCCCAAATCCCTGACGTCCGCCTAGGCCTCACCACGAGGCGGAGACAGACTCAAAGCTCGCCGCGAACGCTTGGATACAGGTCACAAGTCGTCGGAACTATCACCCCCGCCAAGATGCACCGTAGCAGAACTTTCGGTCGGTCGCACAACTACCCACAGCGCACGATCACTCAACATCGCAGCCTCATCAACCCGGGGAACAGGACCACACACCGCAGGAGACATCACAGCGTGCACGCCGACACGGGCCGTAGACACAGCTGCCGGAGCGCAGCCTTGACGTCCGGAGGCACGAGACCACACACCACAGGAGACACAACTGGAGACTCGACTGGAGACGAGGCAGGCAGGGTGGCCGAGGTGTGGGAGCCGGGGATGCACTAACTTCCACTCCGACACCCACAGCCACATTGAGGCTGGCATCAGAGACCGGCAACAGGGCACCAGACGACTGGGAAGTATCACTCACCACAGCAGCACCTTTCGACAGGTCCGGGACCGCCAACGGGGAAAAGTCCTTCTCCTTAAAGAGCTTCACATGCCCGACCCAGCTCACATCACAACCCGCAGCCTGAAGGCCCGAGTCCGAACCGGAAACAAGTCCGGGGCTGACCCCCCATAGAATACGCGTACCACGAAGCCCAGAAGCAGGAGAGACGAAGGTATGGGGTCCTTCATGCGCAGCGCCACAGTGCGGGTCCCATTCGGGACACTCTTCCACCGCCCGGAGAAGACTGCATTCATCCGGACACTCAAGACCCGCCCATACCGGGTAAAGTGACGCTGGAGAAGGGAGTCAGGGAACTCAAAGGGAGCACCATAAACTGTCACATAGGTAGTCTCACTGCACCTGTCCGACACTTCCACCGAACCCCCATCCTCAGGCAGAGTAAACGTCCTCCCGTCATAGTGGTCCACAAAGTCACGATACACAGCCGTGGAGCAGAATTTCACAACAGCTCGATGCCCAGATACAAGTTGAACGCCGCACACAGACGCCACATCCACCCGCAACATGTCAATCACCACCACCTCAACTGCCGGGTAAGACGCTGGGCCAGTAAATTCTAGTCCAATGGTATCCCTACGCTTCATAGGGGGGGGGGGAAGGACGGCCGCCACAACCCCAAGTATTTATCAAAAGAAGGCACCAAACCGGGAAGGCTATGTAGCACCATCAAATGTGCAGAATAATCAGAGGGTGCCAAAGGATGCCAATACGAGAGCAGAAACACATAAGGCGAACGATATCAAAAGTACCCGATTCACCAAGAATTCTATTGAGGGACAAGTGACCGCGAGGGGTGGTCGGAAAGCACCGACACACGCTCGTCCTGGAAGTCAGGACATTCAACAAGGATATGCACGACTGCAAGAGGGGCAATGCAATTTGGACAACAAGGAGCTGGGCGGCGCTCCATTAAGTGACCGTGAGTTAAGAGCGTATGGCCAAGACGCAACCGCGCCAGAGCCGTTTCCCACCGTCGGTTACGGTGGCAGGAGGAAGACCATGGGGACACACAACGCTTAAGAGTACGCAGTGTGTTACCAACAACCCTGCCAACGGGCAAGGATGGAGGAATGAATAACCGGATAAAAGTCGGAAAAAGGAATACCTTTACGAGAAATGGGGCCATGGCCCCAAGGGTCCGCTCACAAACACAAACCACCACAGGTCAGCAAACCAGCTCAAATGCGACACGTCCACCTCCGCCCAGAGCTAGGAGAGCTGTCCAGCGAGACAGAAATGGCTAGGCGCGTTTCCTATCACCTAATGCACTGTTCACCTATCAGTAAATAGGTACCCAGGAGTTGGTCAGCTTATTGTGGGGGCTGCATCCTGGGGAGGGTCAGTAATTCGACCGTTGGGAGGGGGGGGACCCCGATAAAAGCCTAACATGTTCTGTATGTATAAACTGGCTGCCTGTCCCCCGACACAATGAATGATTGATTAATTATATGTATAAGAGCTTATATTGTGGATCTCACATCTAAAGTCTAGAAAACTATTAAAGTAAGAATTTTATTTACATTTGCTTCACTATTGTGTTTAAGGAGGTTGTTAAAGTAATTATCAAAAGAAGGCACCAAACCGGGAAGGCTATGTAGCACCACCAAATGTGCGGAATAATCAGAGGGCGCTAAATATCAACAAGGATGCTAATACGAGAACAGGAGGTTATTAAAGGAAAACTTGACAGACGAGGGTTTGTTGTTGTTTCAGATTTAGCTACTCAGAACGAAGTGTCCATGTAGAGTCTGGCCCTAGCTTCGGTTCGGGGCGGACGTGTTGAATCGGCGCTCCAGCAGTTGGTGTTATTTGCAGTTTCGGCCGGTTGGGGGCGGGTGTGTCTCTGCTCGCCTGTGCTGACGTGGCGTTACGATGGGGGTCCCTCTACCCCCAGTCGTCCGGGCTCAGTCTGTGGGACTAGAGTTCTCTGTGCGGGCTGGTTACCCGGAGATTGCCCTGGCTTGTGAAATGCTCTCTGTCCCTGTGTTTGCGATTTATGGGGTCGAGTTGGTAACGGCCCGTAGGGCAATTGTGAAGTTTGCAGAGGAGGTGGCGTATCGCGATTTTCTCCGGCGATACGAGGGGCGGACACTGCCCCTGCCGGATGGTGCGGGCACTGTCACCCTCTCGGATAGAAGTGGTGCACTTACTTACATCAGTGTGCATGGGGCTCCCTTGGAGTTTCCAGAGGCTCTGCTACGGCGGTATTTCGGCCGGTTTGGCGCAGTTGTTAGTGTGAGAGTGAACGTGGTGTCTTCTAGTCCTCTTAAGGGTGTGAGGTCTAACATTCGCACCCTGGGCATGAGACTCCGGGCGGATATTCCGTCCTCTGTGCGCCTTATGGGGTACAACGTTCGGGTTTTTTACGCCCGTCAGCCGCGGACGTGTTATCGTTGTGGTCTTTTGGGCCATCAGGCTGCTGACTGTTCTGCGCCTGCTGTTGCACCAGTGAATCTCTTCAGTGAGGAGGATTTTCCGCCCCTTCCTGTGGGGGATGATTCGGTGGGTATGGACGTCTCTTCGGCTGAGGTGCCCTCTGTAGCAGCTGTTGCTCCGCCTGTTGCGTCCCCTGTTGTTGCCGCATCTCCTCCGGAGGTTGGGCCCTCGCCTAGTGCTCCGGCTGGTGTCCCTGAGCCTCTTCCCACTGCCGTTTGCTCGGACCTCTCGTCTTCCAGTTCTTCCTCTGCTGTGTCTGTCCCGGTCCCTGCGCCCTCGCCGTCTGTTCCGGCTGTGCTGGGAGCTGAGGTGGTTCCGGCATTCCCTCCTGTGCCTGGCCTGGTGCCCCGTGTGGTTGAGGAGGCTGCCGTGCTGCGGCGTGCGTCGGTTCGCTCGGTTGGTGCTGCGCGGGTCGCTGAGTCTGCCTCCGGGTCTGATGATGTGCGGCCCGGGCCTAAGCGTTCCCGGCGTTCTTCTGCGTGGGCTGATGTTGGCGAATTCGACGAGTGTCGTCCTTCCGTTGACGGTGGAGTGGCTCCGGATGTGGTGCACACTACAGTGGTGGCGGAGGTACACTTGCCTGAGGATGCCGGTGCCGGCGTTTCGGCCTCACCTTCTGGTCCGGTGTCCGAGGGTCCTGCTTCAGGTGCGTTGCCTGCGTCGGATGGCTCCGGTTCTTCGTGGGCGGTGGTTCCCCCTGCTGTAGTTGGTGGTGAGCGGGGTGGCCTGGTAGTGATGTTGAGGAAGGATGCTCGCTCTGGATGTTCTGTGGCCCCTTCCTCGTTACCCGTTTCCTCGGCAGCGGTCTTGCCGCCTCTTCCGTTTCCTGCAGTCCCTTCCGTGTCTCCTGCGGTATCCGTGGAAGTGCTATCGTCTCAGCGTCCGGCGCCTGCTCCGATGACGAAGGCGTGGCAGGCTCGGCGACCCTCGTCCGCTTCTCCGGTGTCATCTGCTTCCTCGAAGGGCGTGGTTGGCGCTCCCCAGCCTCGTTATGCGACTTGCGTCAGTGACCTTAGGCATTGGCCGATGCCGCCAGATATAGATGTTCCTGAGTTTGTTACCCGCTCGAGCGCGGGGGGTCGAAAACCCTACCGACCTTGAAGATCTAGTCTGGGAAGCTTACAAGGCGAAATATCCTTATGATCTTTTCCCGGAGAAGTACATTTCTCACGAGGTTCCTCGCAAGTGATTTCTATGTATTTTGTGTTGCCTGGTTGTGGGGTGTGTATGCGAGTGGGTGGGGTGGGTATTGTTTCCCGGTTCCTGCGTGCTCCGGTTTGTATTGTGGGTTTTCTTGTATGGCTAGTGGGGGGGTGTGCGGTTCCTATGCGTTTGTGTGTTCGGTTGTGGATGTCGTGTGCGCTTGTTTGTCATATTGTGTGCCCTTCAGGCTGTTGGGGTGTGCTCTTTGTTATGTGTGCATTATGTGTTTGGGGTGTTAGCAGACTTTTGTATGTTTCTCGCCTCTCTGTTTCCCTTATGTTTGTATTACGCTGTGTTTATATTTGTGTTATGTTTGTATATGCATTTTTGTTTTGTGGTCAGCCCTTCTGGCTGGTCTTCTCTTGATTTGTTCCTTTGTCATTGTTCATGTGTGTGCTTTGTACTTTTGTTCTGTTATATTTGTTCTGTTTTTATTGTACATTATACGCATGCTTGCATGTAAAAATAAAAATTAAAAAAAAAAAGTGTCCATGTAGCACGGGCTATGGCGAGCCCGTAACAACGAGGGGGGGGGGTATAAACTAACCTATTCTCATCAACTGTCACAACTTACAAAATACAAAGTCCTAACCTAATCAGAAACGTACGAACCCAAGCAACCCACCTAACCTTCCGTACCGATGCATAGAAAACGGACATTTGTAATCCGTCACTTTTCAGTGCTTTGTAATCTGCACCATAACGTACAAAATGAGACGCACTAGTTTAGAGGACGGGTTGCATAACAACGCTACCTAGATTTACAATTTTTTTTATTATATACAGTAATATATAAACAAAATATAATACATTCTGCATCAGCAAAGCAAACATTTATATATTTATATATTATTTATAAACATTTATATATATTACATTTATATACAAACGGCAATATATCTGATAATCCCCTCATTATTATTATTTTTATACGTCACTTTAAAGTTTGCTAACTGGTGCTGCACTATAGTTATGTAGTTTTCTGTTGCAATGCAGAGATTTTATACTTAATTGTCGCTATTATTACTAATACCATGGTGTTAGACAGCTGTTGTGGGTTGCATCTTGGAGAAACTCATTCATTGGCTAGGGAGAAATCGACAAGCCTAACGTGCAGGATTTTTTGTCCCCGACAACAGAAAAATAAATCCTGTGTTTCTAGTGTTATTTGGGAAAATTGCCTCGTCTCTTGTGACGTCGTTTGGTTTTTTGGGCATGCGAAGTCTTGTTTGTAGTATACAGTAAATGCATTGGACAGTAATGTTCCTAGGGAAAGCTATTTACTAGACTACACAGCAGTATAGCGAGTTAGCTCTGAATGTTCCAAGCTTGTTTGATGATATCGGCGGCCTTCTCTCCTATCATGATGGTGGGCGCGTTAATATTACCAGAGGTAACGACTGGCATGACGGACGCGTCCACCACCCGCAGCCCGGACACCCCGCGGACCCTGTGGGGTGACAAGAGTGATATTTCCTACAGCCTGCTACCAGCACGCGCTACAGATAGTAATACTAAGTAATTATTAAAATAAAGCGCTCTGCTAGGATGAATACACATAGTACTTCCAATGCTACATAATATTCGGGAGTTCATATGCCCACTCTACCTACCTGAGGTGGAAATCTACCACACCCATGGGGTCAGATGACGGGGCCATCTTACAGGTGTCGACCAGGTGAATATATGTGGAGGCCATGTGAGTGGCGTAGCAGGCCCAGTAGGCGTTGCTGCCGACCACCTCCCCGGCACACTCCGGCAGGGGCTGTGGTTATAGTTATTTGCATTATTGACCATGTACAATTGTAAGGTAGGAAAATATGGGAGATACATTGGGGTGGGGGTGTATAAGTGAGGGTGGGGTGTATATTTATTTACAAGACGGTATTTTATATTGGATTTTGATATACAAAATTAAATATACACAAAATACATTCGTGTAAGGACCTGGATAGTCACAAATTTATTAACATGAATAAGGTGACTAACAACTCAGAACTTGCATGTTTTATGATGTTTATTGCTTTAAATGTTAATCGTAATTATTTTTAGTAAAAATCGTGCATTTAGATATACAGTATGCTACTTTATTTTACCTGAAGGGCAACCCCTCTAGTGGCGTAGACAGAGACAAGAAGCCGGCGACTTGTGAAATGTCCCCCCCTCCCCGCTCAGCTCGTTGTCGCCGTCTGGGGGCTTCGTGGGCGGCTGCCGGAGTGTGATGCTCCTTGGGACAGTCCTCTGTCCTTTTCTAGCCTTGTGCTCCTGCTGCCGTCCTCTCCAATTCTGCTGGGCATCTTTTCCTTTTCCTTCTGTTTCGTTTTTCTCCCCCCTCTTCTCCTATCTGCTTGCCGTTTCCTGCCGACCTTTTGCTCGTTCTGGTTCTTCCCTTGGACTTCTTCTACTTTGACGCCCGGGTGCTTGAGGAGGCATACTCTTGCACCTGTAGAACTGCAGTACCCGACGTCGAGAGCGAGGGGAACCTTTTATTGTCAATCCCCACTTCGTCACTGAACCCGATCTCGACGGACTGTCGGTTTCTTAAGGTGGCGTTTGTGGGGCGTATACTCACGACGCACCCCTAGGAGGCCCCGACAAGATCGGCGATAGCTTCTTGTTGGGTGTCCTGCCTCTAATTGTGGCTCCATGGTGGGTGTGGGGGCACATTCGTGAGTGAATTCGTAATTTCGTCAAGATGATAACCCCTGTTTCGGCTGCTTCTGGCTTACCTTTTCAGGCTCGTGGGGTGGGCGACCAAGCCCCCGAGTCGGTCCGTATTGGAAGACCGGGCTCTGTAGCCTCCGCTGCATTGGGCCCCGACCTTGCTCCTCCTTTGGCCTCTCTGACTCCTTCCCCTGGCTCCCCTCCCTCCTCTGTGGTTGGGTCGAGCCCCAAGCCCCCAGTGGTGACTACCTCGTCCCCTGGCGCGGCTCCTTCTCTAGTTGTTACTACTGCGCCTTTTAACCCCTCTCTCTCTGGGGGTTCTCACCGCCGTTCTCGTCACGGCCGCCCTCGCTCGATTCCTTCCAGTTCTGCTACCTATCAAGCCTTGTTTGGTCCCGCTTCGTGGGCCAAATATTTTGATCTCCTCCCTCTTGATTCTGCGCCTCCTGACGATTTCTCCCTTCATCGACATCTCATTGATTCCGTGGATGCCTCCATTACTTTTAACCCCACTCGTCTCGGTACGCGTGTCGTTGCTGCTCCTTCTCAGGATGCTGCTTCCCGCTTGGCTGCCTTATCCTGCCTTGGCGAGACCCCCGTTCGGGTCTCGAAGAACGTCCAGTTGAATGCCAGTGTTGGCACTATTTTGCTCCCGCCCCATGTTGCGACCGGTGTTCGGGACCTACGCGACTGCCACGACGATATTCGACATATCCTCGCTGCCCAGGGCCATTCTATTCTCCAGGTGGACACGTTTACTCGTCCCCCTCGTGGTAGTCGCCGTCAACCCCTCCGGGTTGTGAAGATTACCTTTGATGGTAGGACCCTTCCACCCTCTGTCATTCTTGCTGGTGCCAGGTGCTCTGTCCAGGAGTACATTCCTTCTCGGCTCTGCAACAAGTGCTGGAGGTTTGGGCATGGTGCCCTCCGCTGCTCCGGGACTGTCTCTCTCTGTCCTTTGTGTGGTGGCGAAGGTCACTCTAAGTCGGAGTGCGCTTCTCCCCAGGCTCGTTGCCTCAACTGCGGTGAGGCCCATCCTACCTTCTCCCGTGCGTGTGTCCATTACAAGCTTGAGGCAGCCGTCCTCAACTTGAAGCACCGGGAGCGTTTATCTTTTCCTGAGGCGAGGCGCCAGGTTCGCCGGCTCCCGCCTTATGCTAATATCTCTTATGCTCGCGTGTTGCGCTCTTCCTCTCCTCGTCCTTCCCGCCTTCCTCAGACTCACAACCGTTTCCAGGCCTTGGACCCTGATGCGCCCACTGCCCCCTCCTCTGTCCCTTTGGGTTCTCTCCCGAAGGATCCTCCTCCTGGTCCTCTGTCTGGGGTTCCCCTTCCTTCTACCCGGTCTGTCGTGTCTTCTGTGTCTCCTTCCTCGTCCCCCTCCGATCCTCCTTCCCATCCTCTTCCTCCATCTATCGGCTCTCCCCGCCGCCTGTCGGTGCGGGCGGATGTCCATCGCTCTCCTAACGGCCGTCGTGTGTGCTCTCGTTCGGCTTCTCCTGTTGAGACACTGGAGTCCGTTGCCCGGTACGTAGTTGCTGGGACACCGGTCTCTTTAAGTCAGAAGCGTAAGCCTGGCTCCTCTCCTTCCTCTTCCCCGGCGGGTAAGAAGGCTTCGCTTTCTTCCTCAGCTCCTCCTTCTGGCTCTGTTGCTCCTTCCACTCCCGTTTCAGTGCTTGCGCCCCCTGTTCCTGCTATGGAGGTTTCTTTGGCCCCTGCTTCCCTTTCGGTTGCTGCTCTTGCTGGGGTGCGCTCCTCTCTTTCTACTCCCCCTCTTCCTGCTGCTGTCCTTGACTGCTCCTCTCCGTTGTCTCCTCCTCCTCCTCCTCCTCCTCCTCCTCCGGACCCTGCCCGCCCACCTCTGATCTGTTCTCCCGTTTCCTTCCCTCCGTCTTTGCTCAGTTTACCCATGCCCCCTAACCCTGACTTTGCTGACCCTGATCCCGACCCTGATATTCTTTAACGTGCTCTGTTGGTCTTTCGCCTTTGTTTCTTCCTTGTTCTCTGTTTTTGTCCTTTCTCTTCTCGTCGTTGTCCATTCTTCAATGGAACGTTCGAGGTTATTACGCCAATTTCCTCGAACTCCAACTTCTGGTTTCGCGGTTTTCGCCCCTTTGTGTCTGTCTCCAGGAGCCGATGCTTGGTGCTCGTCCTGGTCGTTTTCGTGGCTATTCCTTTCTCTCCCCCCCCCCCAGCCATTGCTGGGGCTTCTAATTCTTCTGCTCTCTTGATTCGGGCTGATGTTCCCTTTGTTCCTTTACTTTTTCCTTCGCCTCTCCATTGTTCTGCTGCTCGTATCTTTGTGGGGAAATGGTACACAGTTTGTTCCATTTATCTCCCCCCGAGTGTCCCGCTCTCTCTTCCTGATTTGAAACACCTCCTAGACTCCTTGCCGGAGCCTGTGCTCCTGCTGGGTGACTTCAATTGTCGTCATTCTCTTTGGGGTGACGTTCTGACGAATACCCGGGGTCGCCTCCTTGAGCCGTTTCTCCTCTCTTCTTCCCTGTCTCTTCTGAATTCTGGTGAGCCCACTCATTTGGACTCTCGAACTCGCACCCTTTCTTGTCTTGATCTTTCTCTCTGCTCTTCTTCTCTTTACTTAGATTTCACATGGCAGGTTCTTGATGACCTCCATGGAAGTGATCATTTCCCCATCCTTGTTTCCTTTTTCTCTTTTCGCCCTTCCCTCTCTTTCCCTAGGTGGCAGTTTGCTAAGGCGGACTGGACCCTGTTTTCCCTCAGTGCTACTCTCTCTGACCTCTCCCTTCTGCCCCTCTCTCGCGCTCTCCTCCTTTTTCATGACACTGTCTTCGACGCTGCCCTCCGCTCTATTCCTCGCTCTTCCTCTCGGGGTCCACGGAAGTGCGTTCCCTGGTGGAATGCGGACTGTGCTCGGGCTGTCCGCTGTAAGCGTGCAGCCTGGAAGAAGCACCGCCGTAGGCAGACGACCGATTCTTTTCTTTTCTTTCGGAAAGCGAGTGCGGTGGCCCGTAGGGCCATCCGTACGGCTAAACGTGAATGTTGGGCATCTTATGTCTCGACAATTACGTCCGAAACCCCTCTGGCCCAGATCTGGAAGCGTATCCGCAAGATAGCGGGCAAGTTCGTTCCCGATGTTTCACCGGTCCTTCACCTCCATGATACTCTTGTGGCGGACCCGTTGCAGGTCGCTTCCGAACTGGGTTCCCACTTTTCTTCTGTTAGCTCTGGTCTTCATCTTCCCCAATCTTTCCTTCTTCGTAAACCTGTCCTTGAGTCTCGTCCTTTAGATTTCTGCACTCATCTTCAGCTTCCCTATAATGATCCCTTCTCTCTCTCTGAACTTCGTTCTGCCCTGGCCCTCTGCGGTTCTACGGCGGCGGGCTCCGATGGTATTCATTATGAGATGCTTCGCCATCTCCCTCCGAGCACGTCTCAGTATTTACTGAGTCTGTATAATCGGATCTGGGAGTCGTCGTCAGTCCCTGAGGACTGGCTCGATGCCGTTGTCCTCCCTGTTCGCAAACCAGGGTCTCTGGGTACTTCCCCTAAGGACTTTCGCCCTATTGCTCTCACAAGTTGTGTCTGCAAACTCTTTGAACGTATGGTTAACGTTCGTCTGATGTGGTTCCTGGAACACCATCACCTCCTCTCCCCTTCTCAATTTGGTTTCCGCAAGTGCCGCAGCACGACAGATGTCCTGGTGAACTTGGAGGTCTATATACGTACTGCTTTTGCTGCGAAGACCTCCGTTGTTGCCGTCCTTTTTGACCTAGAAAAGGCTTACGACACCACTTGGCGTTATCATATCCTATCTCAACTTCATTCTTTTGGCCTTCGTGGTCATCTCCCTCTCTTTCTCCGCAGCTTCCTCTCTCGTCGTTCCTTTCGGGTGCGCCTTGGTACCGCTCTCTCTCCCCCTTTTCAGCAATACGAAGGTGTGCCCCAGGGTAGTGTTCTGAGCACTACTCTTTTTCTGGTTGCCCTCAATGGTCTTCTTTCCTCTCTTCCTTCTGGTGTCTTCTCCGCTCTCTATGTCGATGATCTTACCCTTTGTTGTCAGGGTGATGATTCGCCTCTCCTTCAACGCCGGCTTCAACTTGCGATTGATGCCGTGTCGTCTTGGGCCACAGGTCATGGCTTCAAGTTCTCTACTTCTAAGACTTGTGCCATGACTTTTACGCGGAAACGGGTTGTTCTTCGTCCCTCTTTGTCACTTTATGGTCATCCCCTTGAATACAAAGATTCCGCGAAGCTTTTGGGGTTATTCCTTGACACTCGTTTGTCTTGGTCTCCCCATATCTCTTACCTCCGTGTTGAGTGCTCTAAGTCCCTTACCCTCCTTCGGGTCTTGTCCCATACTTCTTGGGGGGCAGATAGGCGCACTCTCCTTGCTTTACATTCCTCTCTCGTCCTGTCTAAGCTCGATTATGGTTGCCCTGCTTACTCGTCTGCTTCTCCTTCTACTCTTCGCCGTCTTGATGCTTTGCACCATACTGGGTTGCGCCTCAGTTCTGGTGCCTTTCGTTCGACTCCCGTCCTTAGCTTGTATGTTGACACTGGCTTCCTGTCTCTCCAGGACCGCCGTGATCGCTACTGTCTTCGCTATCTTGCGCGGTCCTTGCAACATCCTTCCTCTCGTCTCTGTCGTGCTTTAACTTTTACCCCTCCTGCGGTTCCTGTTCCTCTTCACCACCTCCCTCTTTCTGTCCGGTTATCTCGCCTGCAGGATTCTCTTTCCGTTCGTATTTCTGATGTTTCTCCTCGTATTTCTGATGTTTCTCCTCGTGTTGTTCCTTCTTTGCCCCCGTGGAGGGTCCCTCTTCCGCGGTTTTGTACATCCTTGACTCGTATCACTAAAGCTTTTACCCCTCCTACAGTTCTAAAACGCCTTTTCCTCGAGCACTTTTCTTCTCACTCCCGCTCCGTTTCTGTCTTCACCGATGGGTCTAAGTCAGCGGACGGTGTTGGCTACTCTGTTGTTTTTCCTGATCGCACTTATATGTGTCGCTTGCCTCCGGAGACTAGCATCTTTACAGCGGAACTTTATGCTATTCTCTATGCTCTTCGTCTCCTGCTTTCTCGTTGTCAGTCTTCCTTTGTGGTTGTTGTTGACTCTCGTAGTGCCCTCATGGCTCTCGGGTGCTTTAATCCAGTTCATCCGGTAGTTGTCGAGATCCAGCATTGGCTGTTTCTCGTTCACAGTAAATTTAAGTCGGTTGAGTTTTGTTGGGTTCCCAGCCATATTGGCGTGTCTTTAAATGAGCGTGCGGATGCTGCCGCTAAGGAAGCTGTCCGCTCTTGTCCCATCTCTCGTAAAGGCATTCCGTATTCCGACTTTTACCCGGTTATCCATTCCTCAGTCCTTACCCGTTGGCAGGCTTCTTGGTTGTCTGTTACTGGTAACAAGCTACGTACTCTTAAATGTTGTGTTTCCTCGTGGCCGTCCTCCTTCCACCGTAACCGGCGGTGGGAAACAGCTCTAGCGAGGTTGCGTATTGGCCATACTCGCTTAACCCATGGTCACTTGATGGAGCGCCGCCCTGCTCCTTATTGTCCTAGTTGCATTGTCCCTCTTACGGTCGTGCATGTCCTTCTTGAATGTCCTGACTTCCAGGACGAGCGTGTGTCTTGCTTTCCGACCGCCCCTCGCGGTCACCTGTCCCTCGATAGAATTCTTGGTGACTCGGATACTTTTGATATCGTTCGCCTTATGCGTTTTTGTTCTCGTATTGGCATCCTTGGTGATATTTAGCGCCCTCTGATTATTTTGCGTATTTGATGGTGCTACATAGCCTTCCCGGTTTGGTGCCTTCTTTTGATAATTACTTACTTACTTGTGAAATGTCCCCCCCCCCTATTGGTCCCCGTGGATTTTTTCAATTGCATTTTAAACATTAAAGACTTAGGCGGGTAAGCGGTTCCTCGGATTTATTACCCTTAATGACCCTCGACTTACGTTTATCTTGAAGGCTTCTTGGTGTATTTAATCTGGTGTGCGAGATAAAGATAGGCAATAGATACGCAGGTATCATCACCTGCGTATCAACTCACCTTATCGTAGAACTTGGCTTGGAAGTCGTTAACGAAGCCTGAGGTGTTGCCAAGCGCCAGCGTCAACCTGATGCCTGGGGAAGCAAGCTGATGTTATTGACATATTTTGAGATATATACAAAAGTTGTTACATTCTTGTACAGCCACTAGTACGCGTAGCGTTTCGGGCAGGTCCCTGGTATACGATCCCCTGCCGCGAAGAATCGTTTTTTCATCCAAGTACACATTTTACTGTTGCGTTAAACAGAGGCTACAGTTAAGGAATTGCGCCCAGTAAATCATCCCCGGCCAGGATACGAAACCATGACATAGCGCTCGCGGAACGCCAGGCGAGTGTCTTACCACTACACCACGGAGACTGCAGACTGCAGAGGCTACAGTTAAGGATTTGCGCCCAGTAAATCCTCCCTGGCCAGGATACGAACCCATGGTTCGCCAGGAACTCGCGGAACGCCAGGCGAGTGTCTTACTACTACACCACGGAGACTGACATTGTCTCGTTATTTTTTTGCTATATATTAATCTTGTCAGTCTACTGATTTTTTTGTCATCTCTCTTAACCTAACTTCTGTATCCTTCTTGGCTATCTATGGTGATCTTTACACTACTTCAAATTGTTTCTATTTTTTGTGTACTTACATTTATTGTTGTGTTTTGCTATAATTACTTTCTATTTACAGCAGATTTAGTATTTAACTGTTCCTGTAATTGCTTGTCTTATTGTATCGTGACATTATTGCATCTATATGCATACCGATATTGATCCTGATCGAAATCTTCTGTCTCATATCCATAATCATCAGCACATTGACCATCATTATTGCAGGTATTACACATCAAATCATGCAAAAAACAAACTCTTAAATAGCACCTACTTATCAGTTTACAACCAAAACGTTAGATCACTTGGTAAACATTTTGATGATATAATGCACTACTCACAGCACTAAGTACTAAATTATCATTCATCATTTTAACAGAAACTTGGCTAAGTAAAGACTATACCCAACTCTACAACTTAGCTGGTTATAAAGCCATTCACAGCTGCAGGCCTAATAAAAAAGGTGGTGGCACAGCAATATATTACAAAGATACCTTCATCTGCAATAGTGTCATTAGTGATAGAGACAACTATTGTGAATATACCTTTGCCAAGTTCTCCAGTAAATCCCTTAAATCCTCCCTGACTATCGGTGCCATCTATAGATTTCCTAATACCAACATAGCTTCATTCTCAGACAACGTAAGGAATCTTATCATAAATAACAATCTCAACAAAAATCACATCATTCTGGGAGGTGATTTCAATATTGACCTGGGTCTACAAAATAACCCTCAAGTTTATTTCCGTAACAGCATGAACTCCTGTATGCTAATCCCCACAATCACCAAGCCCACCCGAGTCACTCAAACATCTGCCACTACCTTGGATCACTTATGGACTAATATAACAGCTCCCCTTACATCTGGTATAATCTATGACAAAACAAGTGACCACTATCCCACCTTCCTCATAGCAAACATGGACACAACACCACCAGAAAGCAAGAAACTGTCATTCAGGCTGCACAGTGAATCAGCTTTAGACAATCTCTCAAATGCACTTCACAACATTAACTGGGAATCTGAATTCAATAATACACAGGATATAAACTCATTAACTAATCTCTTTCTCTCCAAAACTCTAAGCCTCTACAACACTCACTGTCCCCTCCTTACCAAACAAGTAACTGACAAAAGAATAAACAATCCGTGGCTCACAGGTGGCATACTCAAATCAATTAATAAAAAACATGAATATGAAAAGAAATTTAGGATTGGCCTAGTTACAAAGGAAATTATGTACCTAACTCTGCTCTCATCTCTCTATATTATGCACTAATCTATCCCTATCTTAGTTATGGTATCTGTGCATGGGGTTCAACCACTGCAAACCACCTCAAGTCCATCATCACCCAGCAAAAATCTGATATCAGAATAATAACAAATTCTGCTTTCAGACAACACTCAGCCCCCTTGTTTAACTCCCTAAACATGCTAAACATAATCTCACTCCACAAATTCTCTTGTGTCAACTACATTTACAAAACCCTGTTCTCAAATGCAAATCCTGCTCTGAAACTCTCCCTGGACAGATGCAATAGGACCCATTATCACCACACCAGAAATAAATATCTCTTTGGTATCCCCAGGGTCAAACTTAGTCTGTGTAAACACTCTATGCAAATAAAGGGACCCAGTGTATGGAACTCACTCCCCAATGAATTGAAAAGCTGTCCAACTTTTACGTCATTCAAAAACAAAACTAAAAAGTACCTAATTTCATCTTTATAGTTTTTTACCTTGTTGCTTTAAAATTGCACTGTATTGCTACACAATCTCCCAATCTTTATGTACCCAATCCGAACATCTTTACCATTGTGATCATTGCTGTCTTCTTATATGTGCTATCAATCTGCTGTATGATGCCAATTAATCTTGTTAAAATTACCAATCAAGCTGTCAATGTAATCAATCAGAGCTTTAATATACCAATGTGCTTTAATATACTTATTAATCTCATCTCATTTTTTTCTTGCAATGTATCTGTTATCATTTCATTAATTCTGCTAGAATTTACCTACTTAAAATTATCTGTTAGATTAAGGACCTGCCCGAAACGCTGCGCGTACTAGTGGCTTTACAAGATTGTAAATACTATGGTATGTATTCTCACAAACCCAGTGTACCTTCTTGTATATAAATAAATAACATTATATGTTATTGACATTATTATGTTCTTCAAGTTCACACTAGTTCAAAACTTAAGGAACATTATAGAAATGTGCCTTCAAACAAACAGTTGACCCACTTAATGTACTAAAAGGCAATTATTAAAATGAAATGGATTAAAATTGTGTGTAATAGGCGAGGATCAGAATCCTTACTAACTTTATAAAGGATTAAATATATTTATGAATAGCAACTAAGGAGCCAAATCTTTGAAGCCGAAACTGGTCAAATTTTAATACAATAGGCCTACTTGAATTAGACCTTGGCGAAAACTACATTCAAGTAGGTGGAGACTGCCGGAGAAAAAATACTTAGCGAACAACCTCAATATCATCACTAATACTCCAGATGAGTACTCACTCTTAACAAGGGCTGTGACATCATCCGGGTGACTGAGGTAATTTGGGTCAATACTGGGTAGTTGCCTGGGGTCACTAGACCTAAGGGACACTGACCCCCGACTCTTGGCATGAACAAGAACTGGTGAGAGGTTGAACCCCTCCTGGCCGTAGATTTCCTTCAGGTAGTTTTTGAATCTCTAAAATAGCAGTGTGATAAAGGATGGAACATTTTATATTATATATATATATATATATATATATATATATATATATATATATATATATATATATATATATATATATATATATATATATATATATATATATATATATACATACACACATACATATACACGTTACAACAGCAGTACGGTGGTAGACTGTTGGATTAATATAAGTATATTTAACTGTGTTAAAAGTACCTCTCATAGCTTTATACTATGAGAAGGTCTCTGCTGGAATGGTTGAGTATAATATGCGCAATTTATAAGTTTTTATAGACTACAAATTCTAAACGCATACACTTATGTGACTTATTCGTTATAAACAAAGTCGTTATATATTCGTTAGATTAATTGAAGAATGCCTAGTGATGACTCAAGCCTGATAATTCACAATATTGATTTAAGTCCTGTTTAAATCATGTACTCAGACTTTGATGCTCTTTCGCACTCAAGAGAGGGTGAAAAACTTGCTGAATTTCAAGTCTTTACATAAATACATAAGTGTTGGTATGTTAATCTGTTATTGTGTCTGCTATAAGACATTTCCATAAACCGAAATTATGGAAATAAATGTACCTTTCAATGTCTTGTTTGTTTTAGAAATAATTCCTGTTACCAATTAGCTTCGAACACGACATAAAATACACCTACGCGATCGTCTATACCATACAAAGATGGATTGATGAAGCCGCCATCAGTGGCAGGTGTGATAGGGAGGAGGGTGATCTGGGTGTCGGGGTAGTGTGGGTCGCCCCCCTCCGTCACCTTCACCCAGGCGTTGGCCACACCCGGGGGAGTCTCTCCCAGCGGCCCTGACCAAGATGGAAAATAGTGATGGAATAGAGTTCCATGTGTTCATGTTACATGTGTGTTAGTGAATAAAACACTGCTACCATCAGTGTATTTGTCAAAGTGCTATATAGTCATATTGGCATGCATGCTTTCTCCTGATCTTTACTGGCTTGTAGGGCAGAGTTAGCTCCGTTCTTTGAGAAGCAATTCAATTAGTGTATTACATTAATGCACTTTGTAAAGCTAAATAAAAATTAGTTCATAATTACATACGATATATATAAGGTATAAAAGCTTGTAAAGGTAGCCATTTATTATATTAAGTTTAAGGTAATTATAGATTGGGTTTGCTTTTAATGCTTAAAATAATTCCCCCATAACTGATATTTGGGTAATTATTCCCCTTTTAAAAAATTGGCTTGTTAGCTCCCCTCCATGCTGCTGATATAAGGGACAGAGATGATTAATTAGCTATAAGACATGAAGATCACTCGTTTCACTTTAATGGCAAAAATATATAACCAACACAATGCAGTATATCAAGTTGAAGGCAACTGTACTATTTCTAACAAATTTACTTCGGTGTTAAGAGAGCACAGACCTCCTCTGTTGGCTATGTACTGCTTAATAGAGTCGAGACTGAGAATGCTGCTCAGGAGAGAGAAGGAGACGCTCTTCCTGGTGGTCCAGCTGAGGCCATGGACAATCACGTGGTCGTGTAGGTTCTGGCCCACTCCCGGTACATCTGCCACCACCTTCACCTGTGTGTGTGACACAGTATTTCACCTTAGTGTGTACCACCACCCTGTCACTCACCTGTGATGCTGCGGGATGTGCTGGGGTCCCACCCCCGACACCAACAGGTGAGGCGACCATAAAATTCTCGTGACTCACCTTGTGGTGCTGCAGGTGGTGCTTGGGTCCCACTCCCGACACCATCAACAGGTGGGGCGACCGAAATGTCCCTGCAGACAACACCACCTCCCGTCGGGCCCCGACTGTCACCACCTGCGTCACAAAACATATGCATTACTTCTCAAACTATTTAAATATAATGGCACGGTGTGTGTTGTGACTGCACATTCATATTGTTCAGAAATAATTATGAGGCGGCTTTTACCGAGTAGTCTAGGTGCGTGAACCCTTCGCTGTGTGATGGTTTTGTGCACAAGATGATTTTTATGATTTTGAAGATTTTTATCTTAGCACTAAGAGTACTTAGTACTTAATACATATGTAAACTCGGCAGTGTACATAACTCTAGATATATTCTTGAAAATGAATAATTAAGTTAATATATATTAATATGTTCAATATGATATAGTAAGGTGGTAACGCTATTATTATAAATTTATATTAAGGCGCATCAATTCATGGTGCACCGTAATAGGTAGTTCTAACTGGAATGTCCCGATGGCCTGGTTGGAACGGTCCGACGACATGGCCAAGGTCCCCCCGCCCTTTTACCTGAGGACTTTCCAACTCGATTTTGAGCTGAAGTAATGTCTCGACATTTACGGTTTCAGCAGGTAGGCTGAATTTATCATGACTATTTACCAGAGGGCCACTGACATTAGTAGCCTCGACGAGGACAGGAAGTCGGCGGCTTGTCAAAGGTGTATATAACCCTATGGGTGAAAAAGTATATCCTGTTTTCTCTCCCACATTGAAGCTTGTTTAGCTTGAAGCTGTTGCTTCCTTGTATGCTTTACACTTTACCTTTTAAAGAAGTGGTCTGAATTACTATCTTCAAATTGGTTCAGTATTTTAAAGGTCTCAATGAGATCAGCCTTATCATGTCTGGTCTGCAGTGTTATTAGTCTTGTGGCCCTCAACCTGTGGTCCCGTGGTCCTGATATGAGAGTTGACAGCAATGTTGTTGTGTAGGTCACCATACTTGATACAGTAGTCCACATGGCGGCCGCATCAGTCACTTGTATAGTTGAATAATCACGTTCTTATCTTTAACATCAAAGGTTCGTTTGATTATTCCTTTGATTTTTTTTTGTACTGTAGCTCCATCCTCTTATGCAACTTTCAATGATTGGTAGATAATAACTCCTAGGTCCCTTTCTTCACCAATCTGTCATATGGTAGTGTTGTTGATATGTGGGGAACCGACCTGTGAGATTTATATTTATTTAATTTGTATATTTTGATATCAATTTGTATGATGTTTAGTGGACTGTATTTCTGCAATATTCTCACAAATCGACTCCTTGCACATTTAGGGGGGGGGGGTTATAATAAATTTATATATATATGCAGCCAATCAAACTACAGAATTAAACTACATATATAAGTAATTGAAATTTGGAGGTCTTATCTTAGTGTATGGTAGGCCTGGTCCACCAGGAATAAACAAGGATACCAAATAATCCTCGTGGTTATGGCTAGTATCAACACCATGTACTAGTTTACTAGGATTAATTCCTGCTTCCTCTTCAATTATTCCTGTCAAAGAGCACTTGCTGTAAAGTCGGAATCCTATATATATGACAGCTATACCAGAGGAAATATTGGTATATTATTTATAAGGACCGAGGAATAATTACCTGGGTTAAGTTGCTTAATTTCTGTTGACTGGTTCGCCCTAAATACCTAACATAACTGGCCAGATATGACTAGATAAGAAACAGATTTCGGTAATACACTTCCCTTATAGTAGACGTAGTTGCGTGTTGATAATAGAAGCACTTTACTCCTGTGACACACCTGACCAAGAGAGAATTATTGAAGTTGTTTTGCTCCTGCGACTTTGGTCTAGCAATAATGGCTAATTCCTCCTTCCTCCACTGACGCTGGCTCTCTTGTCCAGATGTCAACAAGTGGTAGAAAGGTCACATTTACTCTATTTTGGTACTGATAATTAAGTTAATTCAAATGAGATGTTTTTATGATGTTAAAAGTCCAAAGACTTCTGTATTAAGAATAATCCATAACAGAATAGTTGGTGAGTTAATAGTGCTGTGGCAATGATATCTCGTTTTCTATTGACAGAAAATTCCACTGCGCCACGTCTTCTATGAGTGAATTTATTTATACAACAGCAGCAATATTATCTGCCTATGGTATTTAATATTAGTAAATGATGTCGGGTTTTCCGACATATGATATTGATTACGTGCATTGTTATGCCCTACATGCAAGATCCGACATTTATCAAAATAGAAAAGGTTAACTACTCTAGCTGGCAGTTCCAGCTAATTATGTTTGGGCATGTCTTAATGTTAGTACTGTTTTATGGTAGGTAAGCCTTAATGATAGTACTGGAAATGTACTAGATAGTGCTGTGGATAGTACTATTACACGAGTATAGTATTAAGAAATTTCCAACTGGTACTATCATTAAGTTATGTCTTAATTATAGAATTAGTTAAAAAATAATTAATTCTATACTCGTCTTCACTACACGAAGATTCGTGTAGTGAAGAAAGTCAGTGGCTGTAATTTACCTTTCCTTTGTGTTCCAGTTTGACGCCAACGGCTCTCTTCTTGTTATCAAACACCACCTGCAAGACACAGCGCTCAGTATAATTATATGCAAAATCGCATTAATAGTAGGCTTACATATTTATGAGTCGAACTATTATTATGAGTGACCCCCCACGGTAAACAGACCCCTCCTCCCTCCACACTGAGTGGCGCGGTAACTGTCATATCATCACGCCTACACACGTGAGGCAGCTAGCTTACCTTGGACCACCACACACTATCATACACTAAACACAAAATACAAAAAAATTACAATCGTGCATAAGAACAAAAATCATTAAGTGCAAAAAAGTATCCTTCACCACTACATGATAATTGGCTTCTAAGGTGAACACTTTCGCCTAACATTGTTTACTGAGTAAATGTCAACTGTGTATTTTCTTTCGTATTTCCCGTGTGCCAAATCCAGGTTGATTGCAATTTATTTATTTATTTATTTATTTATTTATTTATTTATTTATATACAAGAAGGTACGTCATTAGGGGTTAGCAGAGAATATAGAAATTCAGTTGAATTTACAATCTTGTAAAGCCCCTAACACGCATAGCACTTCGGGCAAGTCCTTAAACCAACAGATAATTTTTAGATAATTAACAGTAAAATTGACATAAAATGTTTACAGGTACTTTACAGCTTTACTTTACAGGTACAGATAATTTTAAGTAGAATAATTACAATAAAATTGGCAAAAAATGTTTACAGGTACATAGCAAGAAATTTGGACACAAAAGCAGATGAGAATAATACACAATCATAACAATACACAATACTGAACATGTATTACTAGGTACATTAGGATAACATTTCAAGGAATAATGCAGTAGAATATGCACTCAATACAACAACCATGATATCAGATGATACAAGCTGCGCATGTATCAGCGATGATTTACCCAGATAGTACAAGGTTTTGGACACGATAATGACATATTCAGAGACATTTATGCAGAAAAACACCTGTGATCATTAAAACTCATCTGATGGAGGATGGGCAAAGGAGCTCAGCGGAGTCGAGACTCACTCGAGAGTTGAGAAGGATTGCAGTGGCCTCAGCACTCACCTGGAGGTTGATATAGGTAATTGGAGGCCTCAGTACTCACCTGGAGGACGGTGGCGCTGTGAAGGATGTGGAGGTTAGGCCTAGAGGAGGCAGGTCTGAGGTAGGCCTCGGCCGAGGAGCTGCGGACCCCGTCACGGATGGTGAACATTCCGTGGGAGGGGAAGCCTAAAACACACAAGTATACTATAATTCATACCCATCATTAACATGCAGGTAAGGTTTAAAACTTAGATTGGGTTGTAGTCATACTTTCTGAGACCTTCCTTATAGCTAACATCTATCTTGGTAGAGCAACAGCTTCATACTTTGCAAGTCCGCGTTTAACTTCCCGCTGAGTGTTGAATACGGTATTATCAGCTGAAAAATTATCTTCAGAAAATCATGACATGTTGGTATTGAGGATTCTACTGGTATCTTAATGTAATCTTTACCTATCTGCTCAGGTCCATTGTAGTCGTTATCAGGGTAGCCTAGTTCGTGTCCGCCCTGAGTAAAGGCCTGCTGCAAAGGATCCGTTGAATCCGGACTCACCCCAAGGGGACCCCCTCTTCCGTGGTACTTCTCTGTATGACATTCACAGACTCGTAGCTAAATACATTTATATTAAATCATATACTAATAATGCTAAAAAATAATATTCACTGATAATAAGACGTGTAATGCATTAATAATAATAAAAGTATACAAATGAAGTAGAGGAAACATAGGATATACAAATATAACATGTAAACACAGTGTAAGTGACGGTAATCATCACTGCGCAGCTCCACGGACCAGTACTAGGCAGCAGCGGGCCACGGTAGTCTTCTGACTTGATGAAGTAAGGGAGGACGGAGGCGTAGTCCCAGCCGTAGTTACCAAGGGCTGCCCAACCATCATAGTCTCGTCGGTTGCCGCGACTGTACACCAACCCGTTCACTGACGACCCACCGCCCAGCACTCTGCCCTGTGGCAGAACCGCCGCCTGCAGCAGAAAACGCCATCTTAGAGAATGCTGGAGTGTGAAGTAAGGTGTTATAATCTTGTTAAAGACAGGTTTTAGACGGCCTTCAACCTAATCCGTTAAGAAAACATTTAAGGCCCAGTAGAGGATTACATCCCTGCACATACTCTCAACAAATACACAATTGCTCATTGATATACCTGCTGTTCTATAGATATGGATATATAATTCTTACACGGAATTACAGTAAATCGCTACAATCTGAGATCTAAGGCTTACAAACTGGCTTTAAAATTTATATGTGACTTGCTATAAATATTAACAAGATTTGAAATAGGTGGCACAAGTTTTTATGTAGGAAGAATGTTCGACTTACTTTGTTTATATAATTTTTGTGACTATGTTTTTGTGGCGTGGACCTGTAATGCCATGTGGAGGGGTTATCGGGCAGGAAAAACAGCGGCATCAGAGCAGGGACGTATGATTGTGGGGTGGGTGGTGGGCCGGCCTCCACCAGCAGGACCCGCCACTGGGGCACCTCAGACAATCTGGCAGCCATCACACACCCTGCTGACCCACCGCCAACTGGTCCATGTAACATAGTTTACGCTCAATCAATTCATCCAGGAATGATTAATATTAGAACAACTCAGATCCAGGGAAAGTTGCTAATGAGTTAGTAGATAAATGGGCAAGTGCTGCTGGTATGGAGTCCTTACCTGCAGACACGAGAGTCACCATTGAGTCATGGGAAAATATTAGAAATGGAGTAACTTTATGTGCCTTAAATACAAGATCTATAGCATGCACTGAGATAACCCACGATGAGCTACTGGATGCTATAAAAAGTGGCAGCTCCACTGCTCCGGGAAAAGATGGAGTAACGTATGACATACTTAATTATTTAGCCGGTATGAAACCTAATCCCTTACTTGATTTGTTTAATATGAGTTATAGAGAGGGAAAGTTACCAAGAAAATGGAAAGAGGCTGTCATCATTCCTATCCCTAAGTCAAACGGAGGCTACAGACCTGTCTCCTTAATATCCTGCTTTTGTAAAATGATGGAAAGGATTTTGTTAAATAGGCTACTCTACCTTGTAGGTGATAACATGTCCAATAATCTCTTTGGTTTTATCAAAGGCAAAAGTACTGCGGATTGTCTCTTAAAGTGTTTGTCTAATGTGGATGACAATTGTAGAGTTTTTGTTGATCTACAAGGAGCGTTTGATAAAGCCAATGGGGAAGTAATCTTATACGAATTAGCCAATCTGGGAATAACAGGGAGATTGCTACACTGGATAAGGGATTACCTGCAAGGCAGAAAAGGTCAGGTGTATTACCAGGGATACATGTCTGAGGAACGGAGGTTTCAGTTAGGTACCCCACAAGGGGGAGTATTAAGTCCCACCTTATTCAATGTATTAATGAACAGATTAGCATCAGAGATGTATCCTCCAGGGGTCACGACGATCATATATGCTGATGACATTCTTATACAAGGCACTTCTGGGAACAAAATTCAAGATGCTCTTAACATACTTGGTACAACCTGTCACAAGTTAGGCTTAGTTATAAATGCAGATAAAACCAAATACGAGTATAGGAAACGAAGAAATATAACACTTACTCTAAATGGTGTGGAACTGAGCCGTGTACAGAAGTACAAGTATCTGGGCATGTATGTTGGATACACATGTGAGAGTAAAAATGCTGAAATAAATCATATCAGCACCTTATGTAAAGCCCGTCTGCATCCTCTAAAAGCACTGGCTTTTTCTGGTAAAGGTGTTGGGGTACCTATCTTGCGGATGTTATACATAAGCACTGTTCGATCCCTGATAGACTACGCAGCACCCGTATTGTCTTACACAGGCCAAGGCAGAATTCAAAAAATAGAGCTGATACAGAACGAGGCTATGAGGATTATTCTTGGATGTCAAAGAAATGCAATGATTGAAATAATGAGAATGGAATTAAATTTACAGAGTGTGTGTGATAGAGTCCGTGACATTAACACTAGAGTATCTATTCGTTTCATGCGGAGAAAAGGAGGGGATAAGCTGTTTGAGAGCGTTCAGACCTGCTTGAGTGACGTACACACTTCCAGGAAACTGAGGGAGACACGCTATACGAGAGGATTAGCTCATGACCTCAGGGAATACGACGTACTTGACTGCTGTAAACCCTCTCGAAAGTGTAATATGTCTGCTCCCTGGAAAGTACAGAAAATAGACGTCGAAATTGTACCCCTCAAGGTGAAAAAGATTCATCATGAACCGGGACAATTACGGTGTTTGTATGGAAGCATGATATCTCGGTTACCAAGAGGCAACAGTTTACATGTATATTGCGACGGGTCGGTGGCGGAGGATGGCAGGGCAGGGTGTGGTGTCCTAATAAGGGATTATACGGAGTTTGGGACTGTGGACAGGATAATTGAACTCCGGCTTAGTAATTATATATCATCCACACAAGCTGAACTGCAGGCCATTCTGGCGTGTTTGGAGGAAGTACGTCATGACGACAAAAATGTTTTTTTATTTGTCGATAGCCGAGGAGCACTGGAGTCCTTAAACAGTCGAAACCCAGTCTTCATGTCTATAGTGGAGGACTGTAAGAGAAGAATAACCGAGATAAAGCTGAAAGGTTATAGTGTGAAATTCATGTGGATTCCATCTCATGTTGGGATAGTGCTCAACGAGGTGGCGGATGACTTGGCCAAACGTGCCACATCAAAACCACAAGTTGACATTGAATGTGAATTCACAATGAGACAAATAAGAAGCAAAATCAGAAATATTCAGGCACAGGCGGGAGTGGAGAGGAGAGAGATAATGTATGAGAGAAGTCAAACCATGCAACACTACATGTATGTGAGTCAAAACACCCATTTCACTTATGGTAAAAGGAGAAATGCTTGGAGTGACTCTGTGTACATGCGGCTCAGGCTTGGGTACAAATATTACTGGGAATATGGGATAGATGTTCATGGTAATGACACGAAGTGTAAACTATGTGGTATGTTAAGGTCTCACACCCTTGCCCATTATATTCTTGATTGTCCGTTGATTAGTGTATATAGAAACACTGAGATAAGGACTGTTCCTGAACAAATAGCCTGGATGTGTCACAACGGAAAGGTTGATGATATTCTTGAGAGATATAAGAATTTTGCACCAAGATTGTAATATTTTGTTGAATTATCTGCAGGTGTCTTGCAAATTGTGTATACAGTATACCTAGGTCATAAAAGTATTTGTGTGTACGTCTGATGCCATACTACTTGTGAGGGAGGAAATGTATATTTTTACCTCTCAGAATGTTTGGTAATGTGTTTATTTGTGATGTGTGTCTATGTATATATTAACACGTTGTACTGAACGGGGTGAGAATAGCTTGAGCTACCTCATCCCTTTGTGTGTATTTTACCTCAATAAACTTATTTCAATTTCAATTTCAATTAGAACAACATACATGGTAATTTAGTGTCAATTATTTTTGCATGACATTTTGGTCAATAGTGCAAGATCAAAGGCAAAAGTAAAAAATAAGTTTAGTTTAGTTCATTTATTACGCACCCCATACCCATCTTGTGGGCGGTAGTGGAAAGGATTATAGAGGCACATAATGGGCTCAGGGACTGAACCCCACAATTCATTTAGCTAAGCAAGTTACAATCTTAATGAGCTAGTTAAAAAATTCAGTATAATTCAATTCAATATAATTCAGTCACATCAAATTTTTTTTTTAAATTTTGCCCCGAGGGGCGAGTTTATTGGGTCACATCATAAATGGATTCAAGATCGACCACAAATACAATTTCTAAATTAAGCAACTGTCATATGTAGAGAGTGTCACAATTGATATGTTTGTGTTACGACCCTGGGTTCTTAGTTGGAAACCAGAGGTCAAATTGAGTTCTAAATAATTACTATACATTAATTGATAGGATTGGATCATGTGAGAAGGATAGTTAATTAACAATAACATTTATACTCAAGGGCTTCTTTCACTGCTGATGCGTTTTTGCTCATATCTTCCTTGCCAGACGTAAGACGAATCTTGTTTCTCACAGAGCATTAAGACTCTGTGCTTGTTGATTATTAAATATAGTATTGAACTAATTATCAGCTATTCTTAGAATGATTAAAGTAACTAGTAATGAATGTCTGAGTAAACTTGGGTTGATGTCTGCTGTACGATCAGCTGAGTATCCGTCCGGCAGCAATCAGAGTAGGAGGCAGCAGGGCTCTGCATGGGTCGCTCTCTGGTTCTGGCTGTGGTTGTGTTCACACATCTCTTCGTGGGTTCTGTACTCCTTTTCCTTGTCTCTCTCTCCTTACCGTATCCTGATTCTCAGTTCTACAAGATAAGTATCTTATAATGTGTACTGGTCTCTGGCAAAAGTGTGTAGTAGTTTGTGTAGCCTAAGCTAGTGTTTATATTCCTAAGATTACTCAGGTGTGTTAGTGAAACCACGTGTGTTCAAGTTGTACCAGGCTACCTAGAGCCTTTACTTGTGCCCTAACCAAATAGTCTTTACCCTAGTTGCAATTGTAAACCTTGCATCCTGTCTATGTGGACCAAGGTGTTTAACGTAAGGTAGAGTGGTAAAGAAAATAGTTGTATTAATGTATGTGGGGGGTTATTAGAGGGTTTAATAAATAAGGTATAAGATAAGAGTTTCTTTTCATCCTGCTGAGTGTGGAATAGGGGATTACCCTAGACTACAGACAGTTGCAGGCGATGAGTCACAATAACGTGGCTGAAGTATGTTGACCAGACCACACACTAGAAATTGAAGGGACGACGACGTTTCGGTCCGTCCTGGACCATTCTCAAGTCGATTACAATCGACTTGAGAATGGTCCAGGACGGACCGAAACGTCGTCGTCCCTTCAATTTCTAGTGTGTGGTCTGGTCAACATACAGACAGTTATTCTAACCTAACTATTATTCTTTGCTGGGAATATTCTTCCCTGGGGGCCAGGGCCTCCCTATTGCCACTATTTTAGGAACTCTTTTTATCTTGTACTATTGGCCCTCTCAGTACAATAACCTGCCCCCCATAACAAGTGGTTGGCTTGTCCGGGATCTGAAATTTATATATATATATATATATATATATATATATATATATATATATATATATACATATATATATATATATACATATATATATATATTGTCGGAAAATCCGACACCATTTAATATATCATACAGATAATTGCTGTTGTATAAGCAAGTTACCCATAGAAAACGTAACTTGTAGTGGAATTACCGTCTATAGAAAACGGGATATCATCACCACATACTATTATAATTCACCAGCTATTCTGCTGGGAATTGTTCTTAAATACATTAGTCTTTGGACTTTACCATCATAAAAACATCTTATATAAATTAACTTAATTATCAATATTAAAGTAGAGTAAATGTGACCCTTCTATCACTTTCTGAAATCTGGACAAAGTAGGCCAGGCGTCAGTGGGGAAGGAGGGCAGCCATTGTTGTGTCACCTCCGAGACGTGTGGAGCAAATTCGGCTCCTATCATTCTGGACAATGTCGGCCAGTAACGTCAA